CTTTGAATTCCCAAAAATTCTCAGTTTAGTGAATATCTCTGTTAGAGTTAATTGTTCTCACAGATTACTAGCTGCATGTAATGTTTGGACACATTCCCTGGGGTCACTCGGTCTGTACATGACTCACTCTGTGATAAGCATATGACTTAGATGTGGTTTTACGCTAGTATGCTACATGATACTTCCTTCCTCAACATATCACAAATCTATGCTTCCAGGCTAATGCATACTGTTGGTAGGAATATCACTGGCCTAACCCAGAGTTAGACAACCTCCAGGCATCCCGTGTTTATTGGACTACAAATCTGGGAGTGGTGGGAAAAGGGGATTGTCCTGTAAGAATAGCTAGTTCCATAGCTCAGCTGCCAGCAAGAGGTGGGTCCCCATACCCATTCAACAGGCAGAAAACATAATGAATTCACTTAGCACTGCACTGTGGAACGGAAGGACAGGGATCAGGGGTTATGTGAGGTTTTAAGAAACCTCCCAGGTACAGAGAGGTCCATGAGGTGTGAGCCAAGTAACACAGCTAATGATGGATAAACAATGTTACCTTGTAGGACTCCTAACAAAGTTTGATGGTTTTGCTGTTGGGTATCCTGCAAAATACAGAAACCAAGAGTACTGCACTCACCTGAAAATGCTTACATTAGAAGGAACATGCTGCTGGGGTCAACTCATACAACAAACAAGATCCCGAGCATTCACTCATTCACTTAACAGCAACATCAAAGCTCACAGAATGTCATTGTTAAAAAAAAAAAAAAAAACTGGCGTTGTGGCAGGATTGTGAAATGTATGATCATATACTGTAACTAAACCCCCATTAGTTTTGCCTTGGTGAGGTTTTTTTTTTTTTTTTTTTTATGAAAAACTAAATATTATATTCCATGAGCTTACATGCCCCAATGTATTCCATTCTGTGAGTTTTCAAACTGCTGTTTTGTGAACGAGTGAGTGCTCTGGATCTTGCATGTTGTGTGAATTGGCTCCAACAGCACCCGTATAATGTATGCATGTTCAGGTGAGTGCAGCCCTGTTGGTAGTTTTGCATCCCTCTCAGTCACAGGTGTCTCATTCCTGGGCCCTATTTAACCTTGGCCTGCAGAGAGTGCCAGGAGAAGCATTTCCCAATTAAGTGGATTAATTTCATAAGAGCAAGCATTAGGTTGTTAGAGTAGGACCTGCCAAGAATGGGGTACACTGACGTTGTGGCAGGCTTATGCAATGCATGATAATATACTATAACTAAACCCCCATTATTTTTCCGAAGGTGAGGTTTTTTAAAAAAAACAAAAAGAAATCCTCTAATTGAGATGGATTGGTCTGGGTGACTTTAGTGTTTCTTTTTTAAATTTTATTCATCTTTATCAAAGTTTCATTATTTTTTCCAGAAATTCAAGAAACAACGTATCACAAAACATACATTGCAAACATTGAGCACCTCACTAAAGTAGTTGCTACATCGAAATATATCTCATAATATACAAATACATTTGAGAGGCCATGGGTTTAAAAAAAAAAAAAAGCTACAAGGGCTTTAATCTAATTCGTTTTCACGAAGCCTTTTTGGTGGATTGAATTGTCACGAGCCAGGTCTGCCACAAATATCTTTTTGGGGCATTCAAAAAATACTTGAATCTCTTTCCATCTTTAGTTGTAAACGTAATTGGGCTTCAATTAATTCCCATGATAATTCACCCGCTTGTTTCCAATTGCGTGCTAATGTGATCTTGTAGACAATAAAACAATGAATAACATTGAATAACATGTTCTTACGTGCCATAGAGGGCCAGTGCATATGTAATAGTCCTCTCTATTGTTATATTAGTCATATATATATATATATATATATATATATATATATATATATATATATATCTCTATCCAGATAGCAAAGGTGACCAGCACTCACGGATTCATTAATAGATTAAAACATCCAAAGTTTAATGAAAGGTTGTTCCTGATGAAAGTCCCAGAGGAGGACTGAAACGTTGAGCTGTCAACAATCTTTTTTATTTTCTTTCATTAAACTTTGGATGTTTTAATCTATTGATGAATCCGTGAGTGCTGGTCACCTTTGCTATCTGGATATTTGGTCTCTCCCTAGGACTACAAGCACCCGGTATGTAGTTTTTGAGTCTGAGTGCAAGGATTTTGTGTGTATATATATTTAAAAAAAGGGCATCCAAAACCTTCTTAATAAATGCACAGCTCCACCAAATGTGGAGATAGGAACCTTCTTTAAACCCATAACTCCAGCACCATAGAGATGCACTTTGGTACATCTGTTATTTATGACGTTATAGTAGGTTTCAACTAAATTCAAACATTAAACATGTTTACGAGTGGTGTCAAAAGCGTTACACCATTCTCGATGGTCTAGTTCGCAATTAAGCGCTTTTTCCCATTTTATCATCTGAGCAGGATTCTGCAAATAATTTAGAGTTCTAATTAGGTCTATCGCTTTTGCTAGTATCTTTTGGACAGCTTCATTAGAAAAGATCTTTAATACCCTAGTCTTTTTTTTATTTTTTATTTGCCTGATGCAGATATTTTTGCAAAAAATTTGGAAGATTTCTGGGCTTGGGCCAAAGATTCAAAAGGCAACACATTACCTTTAGTGGTTCTTTTAAGCCACACTGCTAGCTCTTTAAACTCTACAAACACCCAAGTGAGTACATTGATATAGTGCATTTCAAAATGATTTAGACCTGAACGGTTTAGCTACAGCATCAAATAAACATAGTAAAAGGCCTTATAAATTGACACTATACTAACAGTTTACAGATAAGAAAGTCAACAGTCTTAAACCACAGCTTGTGTCTCTGTCTGCATAACGTGAGTCAGTGTTGGTTCAGTATGACCGTCTGGGACTAGAGCCTGGATCTCATACCTGTCTGGGTGAGATAAGCATGTGAAGGAAAGGTGTGTGTCCGCTTATTGCCAGACATAGAAAGGAAAAAGGAGGAGACGTTAACAGAAAATATGGGGAGAGATCTGTGCTTTTTACAATCCTACAATGTTGGCACTATATAAATGAGGGATAAACTTTTGGATGATTAAGTATTCATGGTTAGAATGCCCTAAGTAGACTTGTAGTCCATGCACATTTGGGACAAAAATCAACCTTAGATCCTTAATGGGGTAATTTAAAAAAAAATGTGAATTTCAAATTATAAGGAAAAATTTACAAAATGGGGGGCAGGGTAATCACCAAGTCAGTTGTAATCAAAATTATTCAACTGAAAATCAGGATCATTGTCTAAATTTAGAGACGTTCAGCTGTTTGCAATGAACAAATCAAAAGCAATTGACATAGGTCAACACAATGAATGCTTCAAGTGGTTTCCCCAAATTCAACTGAAAATGCAACTTATAATGACTTCTCCAGTCTCAAAATTATTCAACCCATTCATGGCGAGCATCTTTAGTACTTGGTAGAGCACACTTGTACTGTTATGACTTGCTGCAAACAAAATACATAGCCAGACATCAGCTTCTGGCAGTGTCCCTGAGGAATCTTAGTCCATTGCTCATGAGCAATGTCCTCCAGTTCAGTAATATTCCTGGGTGTGCTGCAACCACTTTCTTCAAATCCCACCAGAGATTTTCTATGGGATTCAAGTCAGGTGACTGTGATGGCCACTGTAGAATTTCCCAGGACTTCGTCTGCAATCAAACCTTGGTGGAATTTAATGTATGCTTGGGATCGCTGTCTTGTTGGAAGGTCCATTGACGCTTCAGCTTCCTCACAGATGGCATGACTTTTTCCTGATACTTCAATGAATCCATCTTGCCTTCCACACGCTGCAGGCTTCCAGTGCCAGAGGATGCAAAGTAGGCCCAGAGCATCACCTAGCCACCACCACTGTAAGCAATGCTCTTTTAAGCATATGCTTCATTCTTCTCTCTCGAGACGTGAGAAAAATAAGTAGCAAGAGAGGTGAGAACGGACAACAGCTCAATTAGCCTGCCCTTCGATGGGTCCCAACTCAGATTTCAAGCTGGTTTTAGCTCATCTTGTGCCATTACAGAGAGAACATATCTTAAGCATATCAGACTGGTCCCACCCACATGGGCAGTCCAGATCCGAAATGCCAGCAAGTTCCCTCTGCACGAGAGACACAGCAACCCCAGATGATCGTTTTAACCTTGTAAGGTATCATTAGTGAGGTATAGCCAATATATATGATATATAACATACAACCGCTCAATTAGCCTGCCCTTCAATGGGTCCCTGCTCAGATCTCAAGCTGGTTTTAGCTCATCTTGTGCCATTACAGAGACATACTGCTGATCCATTGGGTCAAAAAGTTCCAGTTTTGTTTTATTGTTCCACAAAACAGTATCCCAGAATTTCTGTAGCTGTTTTATATGATTTTGAGCATATTGGAGCTGACATTTCTTTTGCTTTTGGGTCAGTAGTGGTGTACGTCTTGGAGTTCTGTTATGAAAACCTTCTGCGTTTAGTATGCCACTTACTGTGCTCACTGAAACCTCAGTGCCTGTTGCCACCAAGTCTTGCTGCAGGTCTTTTGCAGTTACCGAGGGTTTTTCACAACCTGCCTTCTTAGAAATCTGGCTGCAGCCACTGACAGTTTCCTTTTTCTGCCCCGTCCAGGTAGTGTAACCACTGTTCCTTCAACATCGAACTTGCAATTTATACTTCCAATGGTGTCTCTAGGAAGATTCAGTGCCTTCGCTATCTTTTTGTATCCTGCTCCTTGTTTGTGAAGGGTGATGATCTCTTCTCTTAACTTTGTAGACTATTCTTTTGACTAAAAAAAAACCCCACGATTTTCAATGGGGATTGAATAATTTTGATTACAGTGGTATGCCCCTTTTCCTTTATTTCACAGATGACCTTCTCCTGACATCCCCTCGTTCATGTACTGTATTTTCAAGATCTGCCCCATTCCTATGAATTGTTCTACCCCGTGCCATCAGTCTCTCTCCAATTCTCCAGTCTTTTAAGAAAAACACCTCTTGAGTACATCCTACCATGTTCCTGGGTGATGCTCCACATTTCCTTTGTTTACATAAACCTGTTATGTGTCTCTCCTGCCACTGTTTAACACACCACAAATACTGGTGAGTACGACACAGGCATCCTGAGCTGGTCCTAGGGTCACTGACACCTGGGTGCAATAATATTTTTGGCGCCCCTTAGCTGGGCGTGGCTATGAAGCCAACTCCTCCCCTTCACAAACATAAAACTTTTAACCACACATTTTGTTATGGAAACCACTCCTCACCAGGTAATGTCACCCACTAACTACAGTGCCAGCTTTGCCACCAAAAAGCTTCAGTACTATCTTTGTGCCTTGCTTCCCAGTGTCCTCTCTGTACAGCTACTCAGTGCCATTTGTGTTTCAACATAGCTAATAAATGCCATCTTTGTCCTCAAATAGCTTATCAGTGTCAGGGGCACATTCATATCCCGAAAGGGAAACAAAGGGACGGCCACTTTTTCCCGCGCCTGGACTCCCAGGCACAGAAGCTTCTGGGAAGAAGACCCCCTGGCAGCTAGTGTGGGAAACCCTGTGTTTTCAGTGGTGGGCTTTGGGGACAAAGGGAGGGGGGGGATCTCGGGATGTGACCTTGTATGTCTGCGTGGGAAAACCCTTGCACGGGGTTATACATAAAAGCTGTGTGTGGCCAATAAAGCGTTGTTGTACCTCTGGGACTGTGTGTCGTCCACTGGGAGGGGGAGGGGAGGAGGGTGGGGGAAGAGGATGAGTCTTTGTACTCTCAACGGTTCCTGACCGGCTGAAGGAAGGGAATTAGCTGAGGTAACGCGTGGTCTGCTGCAATGGATCTGCCCCTGACACCCTGACACGTTAGGTCCCCCCCCCCCTATTTTACTGTAGGGCCCCCACCCACCACTCAGGGGTGGGGGCCGGGGGGAGGACATTAGGTCCCCCCCTTATTAGTATTTAGGGCCCCCACCCACCGCTCAGGGGTGGGGGCCAGGGGGAGGACATTAGGTCCCCCCCTTTATTAGTATTTAGGGCCCCCATCTGCCACTCAGGGGTGGGGGCCAGGGGGGAGGACATTAGGTCCCCCCCCTTATTTTACTGTAGGGCCCTCACCCGCCGCTAAGGGGAAAGACCCCCTTTTTTTTTACAGTCACAGGCTGCTCACTGTTTAATAGACATGCCCCTACTCGCGGTATAGCGAGTAGGGGCAAAATTTACTAAAACTAAGTAATTTTTACTTAGTATTAGTAAATTTGGCTGAAAGACCAAATTTAGGTCTTTCAGCCTTTTGGTAGATAACTCCCTAATACCGTGGGAATTAGGGAGTTATCTAATAAGCGGCTGCAAAAGAAGTGCCGAAGTTCCGAAGCGTCGAAGTTGCCGAATATCCGAAGTTCCGAAGTCTTGAAGTGCCGAATTGCCGAAGTCACGAATTTTGGAATGCCGAACCGAAAATCCTGATGCACATGCCTATTTGGGATATGGTCTGCAATTGGTGGAGAGGGGCTGTAGTTGGAGGAATAGAGCCTGAATTGGAATGATATGGGCTGTAGTGGGGAGGGGAATGGTGAATGAAGTAGGGATAAGGGACTGTGGCAGGGTGTTATGGGCTGTAGTGGGGGGGACAGGGGCTACATTTGGGGACAAGGACTGTAGTGAGAATAAGGTACTATAGTAGGGTTAGGGGCTGCAGTGGGTCAGTTACAGGGGCAGACTGAGAACCCTCAGGGCCCCCGGGCAAAATAAATCAAGGGCCCCCTTACAGGCCCCACCCATACTCCACAGCAAGCGACACCCTTGTCCCGCCTCCATGCACTGCCTCCAGCCACACCCTACACAATCTTTAGACACAAGGAACAAAAGTGCAATAATCCCTTTGAGGCCCCAGTAGAGACTACAATTGGGGGCTAATGGGCCATGGAGGTGGGTCTTTCTAGCAGAGGCTATCTCAGGGTCCTTTAGAGAGTGTGTTAGAAAGAATCCCCTCCAAGCCCCATTAGAAACTACAATGGAGTCTAATAGGCTTGGAAGGGGGTCTTTCTAACAGAGGCCATCTCATCGTCCATTAGATAGCCCCTGCTGGAAACAGTCACCTCCAGTAGAGACTACAATTGAGGGCTAATGGGCCATGGAGGGGGGGGGGTCATTCTAGCAGAGGCTGTCTCAGTGTCCTTTAGAGAGTGTGTTAGAAAGAATCTCCTCCAGGCCCGATTAGAGACTACAATGGAGTCTAATGGGGCCTGGAGGGGGGTCTCTCCAACACTCTGGTTCCTAGTCACAATATAGCAACACAACATAGCTCGCTGATACCTAGGCCAAGTTGGCTCCTCTTACCTTAATTACTGTTGCTGGCTGGCAGGCTGCGGGCTTGCTGGCTGCGGGCTTGCTGGCTGCGGGCTTGCTGGCTGCGGCTGGCAGGCTGCGGGCTGGCAGGCTGCGGGCTTGCTGGCTGCGGCTGGCAGGCTGCGGGCTGGCAGGCTGCGGGCTTGCTGGCTACTGCCGGCAGGCTGCGGGCTTGCTGGCTGCGACTGGCAGGCTGTGGGCTTGTTGGCTTTAAGCCTGTGGCTTGCTGTAGGCCTGTGGGCTGGCTACTGGCCTGGCTGGCCTGTGGGCTGGCTAACTGGTGGCTTGTGGGCTGCCTGTGGGCTGGCTGGCTACTGGGGCACTTGTAGATTATTTAAAGAAATAATCCATGCACAATAACCACTACTGCTCTGTGTAGTGGTTATGGTGCCAGGAGGGCTGGGCCCCCCTCCCAGAGTAAGTAGTCAAATCGTTTAAGAACAGTTTGACAACTTACCTGGGGTCTGCTGGGATATGGGGCTGTAGTAGGGTATAGGAGCAGTGGTGGAATGTGTGAGGGGTGCAGTGTATGCAAAAGGTTCAGTGTGTGTGTGGGGGTGTGGTGTGTGGGGCAATGTGTGTATGAGGGGGCTGTGTATGTGTGTGGCAATGTTAGTATGGGGGTCTGTGTGTATATGGGTGGGCAGTGTATGTGTGTGAGGCAATGTGTGTAAATGTGTATGGTGTTTGTGGGGGCAGTGTGTGTGTATGGGGGGCAGTGTGTGAATGTGTATGGTGTGTGTGGGGGGGCAGTGTGTTTATGGGGCTAGAGTTGACTCTCGCAAGAGCGGTAACGTTGCCATGGTAACCGCGGCAACGCTCTGTGCTCGTGCAAGAAGGACCCAGAGGAGCTGCAGGCTGAGCTCCCGGGTCCTCTCTTCCTCCCTCCCCTGCCGGCTGCCCGCACGGTGCCTGCGGACAGGGGAGGGGGGGAAATTGCCCCGTTGCCCCCTGGATCCACCAGTGATATATATACAGCCCTTCTGTGTGCCTTTTTGTCTCCCCCCGTCCCTCTGTATGTTTCTTTCTCCCCCTCACTGCTTCTGTGTCTATGTCTCCCCTCTCCTTCCCAGTCTCTCTTACCCCTCTGCCTCTTTCTCCCCCTCCCCTTGTGTCTCTCTCCTTTCTCCCTGTCTCTCTCTCTTCCACTGTTTCTTTCTCCCCCTTTCCCTGTGTGTCTCTCTGTTTCTCCCCCCTCACCATCTTTCTCTCCCTGTGTCTCATTCTTCCCTCTCTTTCTCCCCCCTCCCCCAACTCTCTATTTCTTCTCCCAAAGGTTCCCACCACCATTCCCTTCTCCCCTGTATCCTGGCTCCCTCTTTCTCCCTTTCCCAGTGCTCCATTCTTCCCTTTTCCCTCCCAACTCTCTATTCCCTCCCTGGGGGTTCTATTCTTCCCTCTTCTCCCTCCTCCCCCAACTCTATTCCCTTTCTCCCCCTTCCCTTTCTCCCCCAGCATCTCATTCCTTCCCCTCTCTTTTCCTCCCAACTTCTTTCTCCCCCTGCCTCCCCTCTTTCTCCCCCCTCCCCATCTCCCTCTCCCCTCTTCTCCCCATTCTCCTATCCCCACTCTCTTTCTCCTGTCTCCTATCTCCCCCTCTTTCTCCCCCCCCCAGTCTCTCCTTCCCTCCTCTCTCTCCTCCCCCTCCCCATCTCCCTATCCCCCTCTCTTGTCTAACTTGAGACACAGGTGTCCGGACGCGTTTCATGCTAGAGCCGCCGGGCCGGGTGGCAGACTCGCCGGTCCGGCGGCATTCCTGTCCTCTCACTAACGCTGAGGACGGAAAGAGGAGGAGCATGTCTCTCTGTCATGCTCCCTGCGGTTCCCACATCCTGTGCTGGGAATTGTGGGAACCGCAGAGAGCATGACAGAGAGACATGCTCCTCCTCCTTCCGTTAGAGAGAGGACAGGAGTGCCGCCGGACAGGCGAGGCTGCCACCCGGCCCGGCGGCTCCTGCATGAAATGCGGCCGGACACCTCAGTCCCCAGATGCCGCCCCCAATCCAGCCCTGCCGCCGGGCCCCCTGATGGCGGCGGGCCCCCCTCCCGGCCGGGCCCTTGGACCATGTCCGAAGTTCCCGACCGGTCAGTCCCCCCTGCTTGGTTACCATGGCAATGTTCTGACAGCGCTGAATCTTGCCTGAGGAGCTGCATGCTAGTTTCCTCGGTATCACCATACCACCAGGGATTGCAGTGTCGCCCACTGCCTGACCAAAGATAAGAAGGGAGGGTGAATATAAAGTTGTTTTTTTTGGGTTTTTTTTTTAAATATAAATAAATTAATACATTTGCCCCACCCCCATTCCTGTGCAAAATAGAGGACCTTTATCTCATGAGAGAGCTCGTCAACAGCAATTTTCACTTTAGTGAATATGTACTAAAGTGTGAATTTTCTACCGGTATAATCTCAGTGAATTTCGCATATTAGGCCAAAATCCTCAAACTGAAAACAGCCGACTCTCCCCCAATTTTGTCTAGAATTTGAAATTCAGTCCAGATTTCAGAGCAACCCATCCAAGCACGGGGTGTATTCAGCTTTAGTAATTACACATCCAGTGTATTTGTCTGGGAACATTTTGGCCAAGTGAAACAGAAAGCTCTCTGGGAAATTGAATTATGAAATGTTCAATGCAGACTTGCAATTAGGAGGTGGAATAATGCTTCTGGGCAGAGCTTTCCATTTCTATCAGCAGGATACATATTTATATCCATCTATGTTTGTGGGTAGAAAGGCAGTAACACTATCTCTCTATGTCTTCCTTTAGTTCAGAGTTGTCCATAAGATGAAACTCCAGCTGTTGTAGAACTACAATTCCCATGATTCTTTGTCAGACATGAGGTTGGTAAAGCATCATAGGAGTTGCAGTTTGCCACCAGCTGTTATAAAATGTAAGTTTATTTCTGTAGACACACACAAGCTGGGAGAGACAGTGATGGGAAATCAATGTGTAATAATGGCCTCTGTCCCGGTTTTAGTTACGATGACGCCTTTGTTTTGGTTTTAAAAAAAAGATACTTCTTGCTACACTGACTTTCTTACAGATTTTTGTTCTAATTGTGATTTATGGGATGGATCTGAACTGGTCTCGTACAGACCCTGGCAGGGTGTGGCTCACTGCAGCTCTAGCTCTGGGGAGTGGCTGTGTCACATGCAGGGAGGGTGAGCTTGCAGTGTGGGGGTGTCTGGCAAGGAGGGTGAGCTTACACTGTGGGGGTGTCTGGCAAGGAGGGTGAGCTTACACTGTGGGGGTGTCTGGCAAGGAGGGTGAGCTTGCACTGTGGGGGTGTCTGGCAGGGAGGGTGAGCTTGCACTGTGGGGGTGTCTGGCAAGGAGGGTGAGCTTACACTGTGGGGGTGTCTGGCAAGGAGGGTAAGCTTGCACTGTGGGGGTGTCTGGCAAGGAGGGTGAGCTTGCACTGTGGGGTGTCTGGCAGGGCGGGTGAGCAAGCAGTTTGGGGGTGTCTGGCTGTGTTGCAGGGAGGGTGAACATGCAGGGTAAGTAAGTTTGCAGTGTGGGGTGTGTGGCTGTCTTGCATTAAGGGTAAGAATGCAGTGCGGGGGTGTCTGGCATGGAGAGCGCGAGTGTGGCTGTCTTGCAGTGTGGGGGTGCCAGGCTGTGTTGCAGCGAGAGTGAGCTTGCATTGTGGGGGTATCTGGCTGTGTTGCAGAGAGGGTGAGCATGCAGTGTGGGGTTATCTGGCTGTGTTGCCGGGAGAGTGAGCATGCAGTGTGGGGTTATCTGGCTGTGTTGCAGGGAGAGTGAGCATGCAGTGTGGGGTTATCTGGCTGTGTTGCAGAGAGGGTGAGCATGCAGTGTGGGGGTGTCTGGCAGGGAGGGTGTGCATGCAGTGTGGGGTTATCTGGCCGTGTTGCAAAGAGGGTGAGCATGCAGTGTGGGGGTGTCTGGCAGGGAGGGTGAGCATGCAATGTTAGTGTCTGGCTGTGTTAAAGGGAGAGTGAGCATGCAGTGTGGGGTTATCTGGCTGTGTTGCAGAGAGGGTGAGCATGCAGTGTGGGGGTGTCTGGCAGGGAGGGTGAGCATGCAATGTTAGTGTCTGGCTGTGTTGAAGGGAGAGTGAGCATGTGTGGGGTTATCTGGTGTTGCAGAGAGGGTGAGCATGCAGTGTGGGGGTGTCTGGCAGGGAGGGTGAGCATGCAATGTTAGTGTCTGGCTGTGTTGCAGGGAGAGTTAGCATGCAGTGTGGGGTTATCTGGCTGTGTTGCAGAGAGGGTGAGCAGGGAGGGTGAGCATGCAATGTTAGTGTCTGTCTGTATTGAAGGGAGAGTGAGCATGCAGTGTGGGGTTATCTGGCTGTGTTGAAGAGAGGGTGAACATGCAGTGTGGGGGTGTCTGGCAGGGAGGGTGAGCATGCAATGTTAGTGTCTGTCTGTGTTGAAGGGAGAGTGAGCATGCAGTGTGGGGTTATCTGGCTGTGTTGAAGAGAGGGTGAACATGCAGTGTGGGGGTGTCTGGCAGGGAGAGTGAGCATGCAGTGTGGGGTTCTCTGGCTCTGCAGAGAGGGTGAGCATGCAGTGTGGGGGTGTCTGGCAGGGAGAGTGAGCATGCAGTGTGGGGTTATCTGGCTCTGCAGAGAGGGTGAGCATGCAGTGTGGGGGTGTCTGGCAGGGAGGGTGAGCATGCAATGTTAGTGTCTGTCTGTGTTGAAGGGAGAGTGAGCATGCGGTGTGGGGTTATCTGGCTGTGTTGAAGAGAGGGTGAACATGCAGTGTGGGGGTGTCTGGCAGGGAGAGTGAGCATGCAGTGTGGGGTTCTCTGGCTCTGCAGAGAGGGTGAGCATGCAGTGTGGGGGTGTCTGGCAGGGAGAGTGAGCATGCAGTGTGGGGTTATCTGGCTCTGCAGAGAGGGTGAGCATGCAGTGTGGGGGTGTCTGGCAGGGAGGGTGAGCATGCAATGTTAGTGTCTGTCTGTGTTGAAGGGAGAGTGAGCATGCAGTGTGGGGTTATCTGGCTGTGTTGAAGAGTGGGAGAACATGTAGTGTCGGGGTGTCTGGCAGGGAGAGTGAGCATGCAGTGTGGGGTTCTCTGGCTCTGCAGAGAGGGTGAGCATGCAGTGTGGGGGTGTCTGGCAGGGAGGGTGAGCATGCAGTTAGTGTCTGGCTGTGTTGCAGAGAGGGTGAGCTTGCAGTGTGGGCGTGGCTCACAGTTAGGGGCTTGCTTTAGGGGGGCGTGCTCCTGAGTTGGGTCTGGCTTACACGTGGCTGCCTATTAAAAGCCACGCCCGGCTGACAAACTCCTCAGTTCTCTCCAACTCCTCTTGGCCGCTGTTTTGTTCCTGCTACAACTACAGGTAATGCACCCTCATACCATTCTCTCTGCACTGCCAGGCAAATCACACTACACTGCTACACCCCATCCTCCCTGCACTGCCAGGCAAATCACACTACACTGCTACACCCCATCCTCCCTGCACTGCCAGGCAAATCACCCTCACACTACACTGCTACACCCCATCCTCCCTGCACTGCCAGGCAAATCACCCTCATGCTACACTGCTACACCCCATCCTCCCTGCACTGCCAGGCAAATCACCCTCACACTACACTGCTATACCCCATCCTCCCTGCACTGCCAGGCAAATCACCCTCACACTACACTGCTACACCCCATCCTCCCTGCACTGCCAGGCAAATCACCCTCACACTACACTGCTATACCCCATCCTCCCTGCACTGCCAGGCAAATCACCCTCACACTACACTGCTACACTCCATCCTCCCTGCACTCCCAGGCAATGCAGTTCTGTGGGGTTTGTTATATATAAAGAAGAGGAATACAGGGTCAACGTTCTACCAGTGGAGTAATCACCATGGAAACCGATGGAACGCTTTACTCTTATAACTCTGCCCCAGAATGACTTTTTACACATAACCCCCTACTTGCTTAATTCTACAACTTCTCCCCATTGCCGGTACCTGTGGTACCTATTACCAGATCCCATCAATATACACTACTACCAATCCAGGCATCACATGGTTCTTACCCCTTAGTATTAACCCTCGACTGCCCAGCGTGCTATCCTTGGAATGTTCAGGGTCTCAGAATTCGATTTGCTAACTAAAGGCTAGTAAATCGCTGTCTTGTGGTTCATCTGATAGAAGAGATTGACGGTGGAGCTTCCTCTTCTATTATAGTTGTAAATAATCTTCTGGAATCTTAGCCCTGATAGTAAGTCAGTGTGACAGAGGGGCACAGCTTCGTTTAATCCTTTCTCTGACCGATGGGACCATTTTTACATTCTATTATAAATACATGTTCCTTATCTATTCTTATTCCGATGATCTGATGGATACATTTTTATATAAGGTTTTGATTTTAAATTATATTTTATTTCTATTCTGTTGGAAGTAATTTTTGGTGTCCAAATAACTGCACTAGACTTTGCTGTATTCTGCCCATGCAATACCCAGGTTAATTTACCCTTTATAATGGGCAGTGACTCACTCATTCACTAATAATCTGATATCTATTGTAATCGTGCCATGCCAACCTTTCTGTGGCATATACCAGACCTGCCACCTTCTAGAACAATTACCAGCATGTAACTTGGGGAGTGGCACAGGTATGGCAAAATCACAAGACAGGCCTTGTTCTTGGGAATCGTATAGTACAACACTGGCATATAGCTGTTTACTATGTAAATTGTCTGGTATTCAATGAGAATTTCAGGATTTAGGCCAACTGGCTTGGAGATTTCTGCAGTTTTAGCAATTTCGTCCTAAAACCCAAAAGTCACTGTAAATTCCTGAACAGTTACAATTTAGAGAATAGGGGACTAATTTCACAGCACCATTATTAAGAGAGGCATGGGTGTGCCACCTCATTTATTTTTATAACCTGTATAGTCAAACAGCTCTCACCTGTTTATTGAATATGAAAACGACTTGCTTAACCCCCCCCCCCCCCCCCCCTTCCTTCCCCATATACACAGGCAATGCTTTGTTGTGTACATGCCAATCCCATCATGTTGACACTTGTAAATCAAAGATGAGGAAATAATGTAGTGACTTATCTGCAGAAATTACATTTCATTGTTTTTTTTTTTTTTTTGTACCAGAAAAGTAGTAACATTAGATTGCAGAAAAATCTGCCAAAATATGTCCTGTTCAAACATTTTATTTAAATCGCTGTGCATAGAAGTATATTTGTTCTGGCATTGATGAAGTGTGCGTGCTGTATACAAATCCTTTAAAACAAGAGTAACCGTATGTCTACACCACAAGCGCAATCTGGGTGTGCCTCTGCTGTCCATTTTTTGGCCAGTCCTGTTGATATCAGATAATGCAGCACAGATTACGTGTGCCATCAGTGGGCTCCTGTCAATGTAACAGTGCAGTACCAGGCAATCACTGGGGGAAACGGGTACAGTATAACTACAGATTAAATGCATTTGTGCAACTTCTAAAGTTTAATCACAAACCTAGGAATTATTACCAATTCGTCTTATCCTTCCAATTTGGCTAAATTAACCGGAAACGTAAAGTTCCCTTGTCCGTTATTCATAATTATGGAATTAGTGAGTACTCTCTCACAAAAAATAGTAAGAACTTCATATTTAATTACACAGGAATCTCTGTACCTTGATACAGTCAGATATATGGGGAGGGGGGTGGGGGAGAGCTGCAGGATCTCCATACATTTATCTGACTAATCTTGCTCTAGGCTTTTTCACTCCCCTAGTTGTTGCATCACATGCCATTTCATACATCTTAACCTATATTCACATAAATGTTTGATTTTCAAAATATTTATTGCCTTTAACATAGTGCATTTTTATTTTTTGGGTGGTGGGGGGGACTAATCACCTGCCTTAGGTCTCTAGTGATATTTATGCGCTGCCATGTTGTTCCTCCTCCTACAAGTTGCTGGCAGGGATATTTGCTCAGATTGATGTGAGTGGGAGTTCTGCGGAGTTGCTTTGCATTTCACGTTCTAAGGGAAATGCCAGAGGAGTGAGTTAATTCACAGCTGACTTTATACAACTGTGTGATTCTGTTGGTGGATGGAGGGGGCTGGAATTTTAGGCTCCACATAAATCAAAATTACTGTCCCATTGCTACCTAGAGATGTTCTAATTCAAAACTAAGTTTTGTTTCTTTATAACAGGCCTTGTTTGCTTGGTAGCGCGTTTAACATCTCATTGTCTGGGAAGTGGTAAGACATAACGCATGCTTGGCATTGTGAGTAGGGTGTGATACAGTTTGGCACGGAGCCTGTTAAGTTCCTTGTTGGGCTGACGTTGGGGGTATTTTAAATAACGGAGTCTCTTAAAAGATCCACACTTCTTTTCATGAATTTGGCCTGCTTTAATAGTGAGATAAGTGTTGTGGTGTTTGGCGTGGTTTTTACATTTTTATTTTTATTTTTTTAAATCTAACATAACTAAATTATTCTTTTTGATGTATCATTGGCTTTTTAAGTTCTGGAAGTTCACTGTGAATTTTATCCTTAATAATAAAAGATCATTCTCTCTCTCTCTCTCTCTCTCTAAATTGATGCTTATTCGGTTGTCGTCTTAGCCTTCTAGAGTCTCCTGTCTAACTTGCATGACCGGATTCATGTTTTAACACTTTCTAGTTCAGCCTCGAGGCCCCAAATACAGATACTGGGTTGGTGATGCTGAGGACAGTTGAAGGTTGTTCACAAGTCAGTGACCTAGATGCCTCTGTGCCAAACTGTATCTCTACTTGCCATGCCAAGCATGGCCTAAAATCTACCACTTTCCAGACCTCCCAATAATTACCTAGCTGCTAAACTAAGCCCTTCTCACAAGCATGCAAGGGATTTTGTACAGTAAGTAAGGGAAAAACTAGTCCTGAGTTTAATATTTCTAGGTTGCAGTGGTACACTACCTTTGAGTTATCCTTGGTCTAAAATTCCAGCCCGCTCCATCGAACTATCTGAATGGTAGATGATGTGCATGGGGTAAAGTTGTTAGGAGATTTGCAGGTGACGACCAGAATTTCTCTTCGTTAGTCTGATAAGTGAGATGCGAATAAAGGATAACAAAGTTCATTCTGGATGCAGACATTTTTAATTAAAAATTTTTTGCCACATGAAGTGCAATATAAAAGTCTTTTTAAAAATTTTTTTATAATTTTTACACGAAGGCAGGAGGGTTTGAAGACTAACTGGATGTTGAAGGGTGAATGGGCAGCACACCCTATATGCGGTTGGATCATTTATATGAAAGAATACTGACCTACTGGGGGGATAGAGGGAGGAAGAAAGGAGGAGGGAGAAGGGGTAGTTCTTGTTTAGGAGCAACTTACTTTCAAGAAGTAGACAAACCTGTACTGGTGATGTGATCTGAAAAGGTATGTCCAGTATCTCTATGGGAGATGTCAGAAAAGGAGATGCATTTTTCATTGAGGGTATACCTAAAAATAGCTTGAAAAAAGCTGCCTGCAACTTCTGTAAGCCCTCCTTTTCTAACCCCGCCCAGTCTTTTTGTGTCTGTCCAATCACAGACTTCGTTATGCAGCTCAATGAGAAGTCTTTCCAAGGCAGGTGCTCTGAGCAATTGCTGTCTAAGTGTAGTTCCACTAAGCTAACCAAACCAGGAAGTAACAGGACAGGTTGACAGCCAGGGGGTGTAACAATGTTCATTTATAAAATTATTAATTTCTACTCAAACCTGCAGTTTTTGAAAAAATAAATAAAAAAAAAAAAGGACACTCTCTCTTCACACACACAGCTTTTTGGCAAGCTGGAAGTTCTTTAGGGGTGTGGAGTGCCCCTTTAAATTGCATAACAGTGAGAATAGAAAGTACCAGGAAAGAGTAGTAAAGTCCAAGAAGTAGAAGTAAGCCCGTGTTGTCAGAAGAAGCAAAACCTTAATTGGGAGGAACCATGAAATGTAATGCACCACACGGGATGTGTTCTATGTTGGCTGTCTTCTCAATAACTCTCTAATCCATGATTGGCTAAAAGGTGGAGCATGGAAGCTTGCCCTTACCTGACCTTTTAAATCCTCTGTAGTGAAGAATCCAGAGCAGTCCCTAACTGGCCAATATGGTGAGAGACTAAACCTAAGATGACACATAGCGTCAAAAGTCTTAAAGGGGACCAAAACTAGCTCGGTCCTAAATAAGGCGTGCGAATATGCCATCGTTGCCCCATGGCTGCTATGTTTGCCACTTATATTTAATTTTACAGGTAGAAACCAAGCCTGATCTTAAAGATGATGCATGAATTAGTATGATATAATTATTATTTTTTTTCTTAATGGAAAAGGTGCGTGACACATGGGCTCAAAGGACAAATATTACATTGTATCTCAGTTGTGAGGAGAACTTTGATCTTGGTTTATCCTGCCTCTCTCTGAAGTTGGAGAATGAACTTTCTCTATATCTATATATCTATTATTTTATTTATTTATTTATTACCATTTGCTGCCACCTCCTGGGGACAGCGTTTTCCCCGCCAGTTCCAGGATGTAGATTAAGCCGGATGACTCTCTAATGCCTGCTTGTCACAACCACACCCATGTCAGTCCTTGGCATTTGGCAGCTCCCAAGACGTTGCACCTTGTAACATCTAAATAAGATATTAAACCCAGCCTGAGCAATGTGTCTGAACAGGAACACTACTCCTATTATGGGAGATTGGGAAATACTACCAGATTTTTATTCATATTGAGCCAAGCCTCCTTCCTTCTACTGGTGGGGGAGTGCGGGGTTTGGTTTTTGTCGAGGAAATTTGACCATAATAGCGTCTATATTACAACATGCAAACAAGGGGAGGGCAGGATGGATTCGAGAAAAAGGATATGTGGACCAGTGAACAAGCTGGGCATACATGTTCACAATATTTCCTAAAGATCATGATTCCAGGAGAATGACGTCTCTGGTGCTGATCTAGGGTTTGGCTTAATTAATGCCAGGGACCATTAACACTGTTTGTATTTGGTGAAAGAAACCCTCCCGTTTCTCCCCACATATATTATTTATGCTCTGTGCACCTTGTACGCTGCTCCCTATCAAATAGGCTGGTACAGCTATTATGAGATTTATAAACACTATCTCCCCCTCCCCCCATTATTTATTTATTTAATTAAAATGATTGAAGTTATGAATAATTTTTCTATGCCTGTCTCTCTAAATTTTGTCTTTCAATATTCCAGCATCCGCAGTGATGGCGACTGTTCATGAGATCCTTGGCAAGCTCTCACTCCAAGGATCGGTAAGTGGCTCTAAACTAGGGATTATGTGGTATGGGGGAGGTTTATTTATTTAATTTTTGTTAATCTACGAGACTTTTAGACCCCTTAGTAAAAGTTTTTATCTCAAATCTGTTTTTTTTTTCTTGTCTACACATTATATTTCCATTTTTAGATCCACTTAATTTCAATTTACATTGAGCGTTCGCATAATGTGCGCTAGGACGTTGCAGTGTGTTTGGCCCTTCTGGCACTCTATGGTAAAGGATGTCTTCCCGTGATGCTATGGAATCATGGGACATTATAAAAATGGAGGATAGTGACCACATAGCCTGACATTCCATGTAATTGAAGGACAAATAAAATCCCCTGTAATGAAAGTTACCCATGTATTCTGACCATTCTTGTCGTCTTTCAGGAAACCGCCTGCTCTGCCCCCAAGGCTGGTTCAGTCAAACCAAAAACCAATTTTGATCCAGAAAAGGCAGCAGAAGCCATTGAAACAGCCATCAAGACAAAAGGTTGGTGTTTGTCAGTGGGATTAATTAAAGAATAATCTTAACTCCCAGTTTATTTTTATTTTATTTTTTTAACACATGATGTTGCGTGGATAAGGTTTTTGGATTTGGGACAAAACTATGTTTTATATTTGCATCCCTCACTGAAATGGAATTCTTGTAAGTTTTGGCGTTCTGAAGAATTCTTTATATTTCCTCTTTAATTTGAAAGAGAGCACGTTTTTATAATTTAATTCCAACATGATGAATCCATTGTGTGTTTTTTTACTCCTGCCATTGATGGAACGGTGCCATTAAAATTTTTTTTTTTTGTACTAAAATTTTGTCTTGTTCACGATATTTTGTGATGTGCAAAATGTGTTGGCTTGAAGTCTGCAGCTCACTCTGGATACGACACTATAACGGTCGCATCCCAAGCTGCTGATTGCATTTGTTTTAAGATCTCAACGAAAACCTCAAGAAACGTCAGACAACTGGTGCAAGCAATCTAAACTGTGTTGAACTGTACACCGGAAGGCATTCCACTAACCCCGAACGATGCAGTCTCTGCAATAAACAAACATGACGCTACTTAATTTAAGCCACCTCATTCCATTCACGATGGGGTGTTTGTGGTTGGATCGTGGTGATGACACTGTAGCCGAGCTGAATAATTAATCAGCCCTACTCTCCAGATGTTCATTATCTGGTTCATGATTAACACAAACGAAGTGCCTTGTAATGATCTGGACACTGTAGATTTCCACTCCCCTTTTTTATTTATTATTTTTCTCCCTTTTCCTTCTTTCCCCTTGAAAATGGTGTCCAGCAATATGTGCTCTGAAATCCGTACCAGGATTGTACTGATCCCACACCTCGCCCCCTGATATTGGATTACAACTGCACAAATTCTCGGAATATGACAAATGGAAAGAGCGTTATGGGAGTTGGAATTCAGAAACATCTGGGGGGTGGGGTTGGAGTTCTGACATCCTGGAATAAACAAATCCCACTGGCTTCTTTGGTTATTTTGGCCTTAAATTCCTTCATCTATTTCAAAGCTGGTACCAGTAAGTTTTCAAACACTGCCCGTCTGAGTGCAGACTTCATTGCCCGTAATGCTTCTTCAAAACACAAATTATCTTTCCTGGACCATATATGGCCCATCAAACATGAATTTGATGTCGTTTTTATGTGTTTAAGTCCATTCGTTCCAATAATTTGTTTAGTCCTCTTCCAGCCTCCTGATATAATTGTGCTGACTGATCTACTGGGGCATTGATACAATGTGGCACATTCTGACTGCAGGAAGGGTTTGACAGTGTAGGATGTGGGGCATTTTCACTTTTTTTTTTTTTTAAAACACAAACTATAAAGCCGATCATGAATGATGCTTACTGATAAATTGTTTGCTAGATTCTCTTTGTGGTAAAACCATCTATTACGAATCCGTTTTCCACCGTGCACCATCTGCCTAACCTGTTTTTTGCTTTTATTTCATTTTATTCTTTTTTTTGACTTGTTGCCAGCACCACCCCCCTTCCTTCCTGGAAAGTGCAGGTGGGTCTACATTTAGAGTAGTTATTCCTATTGTTCGATGAGCCTAGCAGAACAATGCTTGCAGGCTAATCTGCCCTCTCCTTATCTAGCAAATGCTCAGTCCCATGGAGAACGTGGACAAGCCAAACCACGTCAGCTATAACCCACAGGAGCAAACCATGTCTTCCTGCTTAACTTTTACTGCTTTGTGTTTTTGCATAGAGGACATTAAATCCTTAATCTTTGTTTTTATACTGATTTGCTGTGCTCCTCATCCCTCTGGCATCCTAAACGTTAATGCTCCCCAGGTAATCTTCCTCGATATTATGATTCACCAATTGTCTGCGAACTGGTGGAAACTGGAAAAGTCCATATTGCTGCCTGGGTTTTTTTTCTTTTTTTTTTTTTTATAACTACTAATGGCTGGCTAAAGGAAGTGCTCTTTGACTTTTAAACCATTTAACAGAGCTATTCTGGGATATGCTGTGCACAATCAATGCTATCTGTTTATTGTAGAACAGGTTTTGAAACATGAGCTTATACATAGATCAAACTTTCTTCTTTTATTTATTTTCTTCCCTCTTATGGATATTTATGCTACGGTCAGTTATACTTTAACTGCAATCTAATATGTTCTAAAACAAAGTTACACAACCACTTAACTAACCCTTTCCCATTGTCGAGTGTCTCTATTACGTCCAGCATGATCGTACAGCTATAGCATAAACTCATCATAAACGTTGTGGCAGAAATGCATCTGCCACGTGTTCCTGGAGGGGCCTGCTGTCTAGCCTCCTACTGAAAGACTATGGGCCCTGCAAAAACCCTGTTAAAGAACTTTGTTCATGCCATTTACCTATATTGTTCGGGAACCGCAGAAACCAGAGACTACCCATGTGCCTGTTAAGCCCAATTGACACCTTATAACGAGTTCCACCGCAGGGTTCTAATTGCTTGTCTGGGTGGCCGCAATTCGTTTGAACGACCATGAGGTAGCAGCCATCTTGTTCGCATGAACGCAGACAGCGGTGTCTGGTTGTCGACTTCATGGAATTGAAATCTAACACTGAAACTCCCGAACACCAATGGACTTCCATAATTGCATTTTGGTTCTATACAACGTAGAAGGGCACTGTTCGGTGGAATTGTTCCAATGAACAAGCTACACATGTTAACTATGGATTGCGTTTGATATTTTATTCACTTTTATACTCCCGAAAGAGATCAACCGTTGGCACTGATTTCATGGAACTGTTTTGGGCACAGGACCATGAGTGCGGTCGGTCAAAATCGACATCCATGGAAAAACCGAACCACTGAACCGACCTGGGTGATTTAAATTTTTTGATATGTTGGTCACCCAGATCGGGGCTATCAGAGACTGTAACTTTTTTTTTTTTGTGGGGTTTCTATGGATTTTGGAATGTTTATAAATAGTATTTTAATTTATTTATTTTTTTTGGACCTGAGAGATTTAATTATATGTGTGCTTCTCGGATAATTATATCTCAGGCAGGCATAAAGGCTCATGGGAGGGATTTCCCTGTATTCTTGTATTGGAAACCCCTTGCAGGGCCTCCAATAAACCAGATGACTCCCAGCATTAAGCCTCGGCTCATGTGTGGGGGGAACCACTATACTGCTATATCACTTGCTTTTTTACTGGCTATAAAGCTCTACATTCTTGGAGGAGAGATCTTCCCACTGGGAGCTGGATCCAGGTGTTTGGTCCAGGGTGGGAAGGAACGGCTAGATCCCAGCCAAGTGGCGGCTAAGGAGGCTACAGTGGTTATGGTGTGCAGTGTCCATGGTACTCTGTGGGCACTAGACAGCGCGATTTGGCGGAGGTACCCAGTTGGGGTACCAGGCGGTTCGCCACAAAAGTATTTGTGGATAGTTGTCTGGGGCCTGACCAATAAGGGGGTGTGTTCTAGCCAATAGGAACATAGTCTTGACCCAACAGTTAAGGATCCCTTTACTAAGGTGACCTGACAAACTGGTAATATCTGACTGTGTATGGAAAGGAATGCCATTCTAATGATATTCATTTATATTTTTTGCAGGAGTGGATGAGTTAACAATTATCAACATCTTAACAAACTGCAGCAGTGACCAGAGACAAGATATAGCATTTGCCTACCAGAGGAGAACAAAAAAGGTGGGTTAGTTTTTGTCCCTTTGCTGTTGGTGTGTTTAGATCTTAAACTGTCCTAACCGTCCTCCAGCAGCAGATGGTTTAAATTCCATATGTGCAGCATTTCAGTGGTCATGGTGCTTGGACTAATGAAGGTTAATCCGGTAATTGCTGAGGTTTTCTCGCATGACCGTGTGTGCTGTTGATTCCTTGGTGGTTTTTGTTTGTAAAGTACACAAGAATTCCTTTCAAATGCGAAAAAATCCAAAAATCTGTAAAATAGGACAGGGGCACACACACTCATTTAGTGTTGTGGTTTGATCTTTAAGGGGTTTTAGATGAAATCTAGCTGAAAATAAATACAGCCTCGCATGTAATTTCTGGCCTTGTTAAAGTATCTTACCGCGTGTCAGTCTATGTAGAGTTTGATCTTACTGTGTCTATCCTCGGACAGGAACTTTCGTCAGCGCTGAAAAGCGCGCTCTCTGGAAATTTGGAGACCCTGATGATTGGATTAATGAAAACCAGACCCCAATATGATGCTTCTGAACTGAAATCTGCCATGAAGGTGCGTGGAGTGTGGTTTTTAGATGGGGTGTTACATGCATGTCTTAACGTTGGTCACACAAGCTTTGACAGGGACACTAAGATGGCGGTAGTAGCACAATGTGGTCGCATTGTGGGAGGTTAATGATGTTCCTGCTCTTGTTCCAGGGTCTCGGTACAGATGAAGAAGTCCTTATTGAGATTCTCTCCTCTCGAACAAACCAAGAGATGAGGTCAATTCTGGATGTATACCGAGAGCGTGAGTGCACGTCACATGTTAAAGGAACACTATAGGGTCAGGAACCCAAACCTGTATTCCTGAGCCTATAGTGCTAAAACCAGCATTTAGGTGGCTTGCTCCTCCCTTCGCCCCCTTAAAAGCAACGAAAACTCACCTGACTTCCAGTGTTGCGCGGGTCTGCCAGCACTGTCCCCGCCCCCTTGGTGACATCACAGTTGCCGATTTTTAGCCAATCCAATGCTTTCCCATGGGGAAACACCGTTTTGGCCAATCAGCACCTCCTCGTAGAGATGCATTGAATCGATGCATCTCTATGAGGAAAACTCAGCGCCCCCATGCAGAGCGTGGAGACGCTGAACGGAAGTGCTGCCTACTATGCAGCACCGAGCCAGGAAGCACCTCCAGTGGCCATCTGAGGAGTAGCCATTTGGAGGTGTCCCTACGGGCAATGTAAACACTGCCTTTCTCTGAAAATGCAGTGTTTGCATAAAAATGCCTGAAGGCAATGATTATACGCACCAGAACTACATTAAGCTATAGTTGTTCTGGTGACTCTAGTGTCCTTTTTAACACTACATGACCTCCGGCAGTGAAAGTGACAGTTTACAAAATGTGAGTGTTTCCTCCCTCTGGTGATGGGAAGGTGGAAGTGCAATATTGACTATAGTCAATGCCAATAGGTATACAGGTCCTCCTAGTGTGTCCTTTTTACGTAGCACTAGTTATTCAGCGCTCTAATGCAGGTTTTTTGGTAAAAGATGAAGTGATGAATAAATTGGTCATAATCTATACAGAGTTGGGGTGAAAGTAACCAGGCCGTATTCATGAACAAGCAGCTAACTAGTCTAAGTACAGGCATATTGCTGTATTATCTTTTATTGGTTACATGCAGGTCTCTCATAGTTCTTGTTTCTTTAGACTTTTTTTAAATTTTTTTGGTTTGTTTTGTCTTGCTCTCCTGCTTTTAAAAGTTTAAACCTAATGGAGGTTTTATATCTTATTTGTAGTATACAAGACAGAACTTGAGAAAGACATTGTCTCTGACACGTCTGGTGACTTCCGTAAACTAATGGTAGCCCTGGCTAAGGTGAGCAATGAGAATTGTTGGTCTAAATACTGTCTGCAAGGAAAGTCAATGTATTTTTTTATAAACTCTCTCTCTATGTAGAAAAATATATTTTTGGCCTCACTCTTCTGGGCAGAAAGTGTAATAATTCTTTCTACCTGCATTTATTTATTTTATTTATTTATTTGCGTTTCTGGTTGTATTGAATTAATCTAAGTGGAATGTCACAGTTTATGTTGATTCTGCGCCCAAACACTTGGCCAATGGGAATGACCCGTCCTGTGTGTTTTTATTTTTTATTTTTTTCATTGTTGTACTTTGTTTCTTTGCAGGGAAAGCGGCAGGAGGAGAGCTCAGTCATCGATTATGAAAAGATTGATCAGGATGCTCGGGTAAGTGGTCTTCAAAAAAATAAATAAAAAAACAAACCATTGCCATAACAGTTGAAGAGTATAATTGGGGGGTGGGGAGGGGAATTGGCTTACACTGGTTTGCATATGAGTCTTTGAGACTCTTAATAAACTACTTAATTGCCCATATAAATGAGCAGGACACTTGCTACAGATTCTGACACTATGTATTGGTGATCCTTTTAGGAGCTGTATGAAGCTGGAGTAAAGAGAAAGGGAACAGATGTTGGCAAATGGATTGCAATCATGTCAGAAAGAAGCGTTTCTCACCTCCAGAAAGGTATGTGGACTGTTTTTTTACAACTTCCATTCCCCACTATGCATCTGCAAGCTTCTCTGTGAAGCTCTTCTCTTAGACCGGCATTGAAGACCTTGCACAATGACCCTAGTAGATCGTTTTTCTATTTATGATGCAATCAGAGCATTCTTAAAGTATGGTTGGATTGCCATCCACCAATAAAAGCTGTCACGTTTACAATCTTGGTTACCATGATTTACAATGTAGGTGAAATGAATAAAGAGCTGATAGAACACAGGTCACAGTCTGTATCAGTGCTGTTATTAAACATGCTGTATCTTCCTTCAGTTTTCGAAAGGTATAAGAGTTACAGTCCATACGACATGGAGGAAAGTATCCGGAAAGAAGTTAAAGGTGACCTGGAAAACGCCTTCCTCAACCTTGGTGAGTTTTCACATGAATTTCCCGTTCTTACTGTTTGGATACAAATGGAATCTGCATGCATCTGAAATGAGATGTGTTTAAACGTTGTTTCATATAAAATCACCTTGAGTTGATCCTTTCACAATACAGAAACTGCCTACTGAAATGTCAGTTGACAGACTTTGCGAACAATGTTGTCACTGTGTTTATAGATGTGGTTCCAAGTCGTACGTTAAATCTCGCAGAACTTGTTGCCATCTTTTCGTAACCTGCTTCTTTCTCCCTGCAGTTCAGTGCATCCAGAACAAACCGCTGTATTTTGCAAACAAATTGCACGACTCTATGAAGGTAACACATTCCTGCTTGATATTTAACCAGAATGTAAATCTTTTCTAGTATAACCTTTCCTGTTTATCAAACTGAAATATATATATAATTTTAATAAAATTCTCCCCATGTTTTTTAGGGCAAAGGAACAAAAGACAAAATATTGATCAGAATCATGGTTTCCCGAAGTGAAGTAGATATGCTAAAAATCAGAGCAGAATTCAAAAAGAAATATGGCAAATCCTTGCATTACTATATCGGGGTACGTATAAAGCCAATGCCTTCTGTGTATTACACCTAGCTGTTGACATATAGGAACAATCTCTGCTTTGTTACTCGGCAGTCGGGTTCCTCAGACGTATTTACAGTATAATAATCTGTATATTTTGTTATTTACAGTGTGTATAATCTGTATATTTTATTAATACAGTGTGTATGCTGGCTATGGCTATCTGCCTTGGCCAATTACTTTACTACAAGCAGTTCCATGGCAACCAATGTTCTTTATGTTGTTTTTTTTTGAGAAAACAATTAAAGTACACCCTTGCTAGTCTAGAACAGTTGCAGGTTATTTGCTAAAGTGAGGTTTCAAGGTGAATTTCAAACTAAAGGTCAAAATACCCCACCTTTCAGAGTTTGGCTACTCTGGCCTTTAATTTGAATCTCTTGCAGGGTCTAGCAAAAGGGTAAACTTTAGCTGACTCTTTACAGGAAGTGTTTATGGAAGGCTGTGCAAGTCACATGCAGGGAGGTGTGCCTAGGGTTCATAAACAAAGTGATTTAACTCCTAATTGGCAGGGAATTGAGCAGTGAAACTGCAGGGCCATGATCTACACACCCAAACTGCTTCATTAAGCTAAAGTTGTTTTGGTGACTATAGTGTCCCTTTAACTAAAATGTGAATTCAGATCTTTATGTTCGGGGACTGCATTCATTCTGAGCAGCCACATTTGCAGTTTGCAATGTGGACGTTTCGAATGTTCATCTGCAATGTAAAGAGGGACAACAAATGTAGCCTGAAACACTCTACTTTTGGCCTTTAATCCATACTTTAAAAGAAGCTATAAACTGCTGGGAAAGCTGGACATTCAAAAACATTGAATTTATCCTAGTCTCCTCAACCTAGGTGTAGGCAGTATACCTATTCTGAAAATCTGTTTGTAACTTTTTTTAAATTTTATTTTTTATTTTTTTTCCTCTCTGCAGCAAGACACAAAGGGTGATTACCAGCGTGCCCTCCTAAACCTGTGCGGTGGAGATGATTGATCTCCCATCCACTGTTCCCCTGCTTAAATATTAACTGCTTGATCTGACTGTATGTTCTCTCTTGTGCTGGTTTTACATTCCTGAGTCGCCATGCAACTCATCCTGTCCTATTTACTGACCAATAAAACTCGTCGATGTAGAATTGTTAATATTGTGTCTGTTTCTTTTATTAAAATTAATTTTATTGATTCAAAAAGGAGCAAGGCTGAAAAAGGATTGCAAGCTGTGCTTTAGTTTAAGACTGCGTTTAAATGCTCTGCGTACAGGGTGAAGCAAAGCATTCTGGGAGAAATGTAGACTGAATTTGTTTGGAATGGTGGTACTAAACACATGATAACCATGGTCTGATGCAGTGCAGTACATTTTCAAACTGACCTCACCTACGTATCACAAGTCAATCAGTGGAGTTGTATCTGGTTTTGCGCTCACCAACGTCCACAAGATGTATGTATATACAGCTAGATTAGTAATGCACAAATGGAAGTTCTAGAATGACACTCTTGGCCTATCACTATTGTGAGTACCGCTTAGAAATCCTACATATATTTATTCAGGACGGGTAACTGCCCTCATTACTTCACATTGCCGCCTGAACAAATGCTTCGGTAGTAGCGGAGCACCAGAGGAGAAGCATGACTGGCACGAGGGGACACCACTTCTGTTTATAGTGTTCAGCACTGGAAGACAAAGGCAGGGTGTGAACCTTAACCACTGTATTAAATGAAGTGGTTATAGAGTGTAAAGGTGTGTATTGCTGACATCACCCCCACCTCAGTGCCTGCTAAAGGAATTAACAGCACCGGTTGTAGAAGATCCACACCCAGTTGAAATTTATTTGAAACACCAGGCGTGCGTCCAAATTCAGTGATTTTTATTTTTATTTTTTTTTAATTCCTATAAATTGGCCAACACAGTTGCCCTCCTTTTTGTTACGTTTTAATTAGGTCAATAAAGAGAAGAATGTGTAATCTAGTAAATCCATTTGACCACATGGGCCTCTACTGCTTATTAAAAGTTGGCTTATTGATATTTCTAAAAATAAAATTACAATAAAATTTTCAGTGGGGAACAAATTAACTAGAAAAACTAATTAAAAATAAATAAATAAAATACAGCCTTAAAGGTATAATGGAGACTTTGGTCTAATAAATAATACACACATTATTTTGGAGTGCATCCTTGTAATTTAAATACAATCCTCCCCCTTTGGGATTGGATGTAGACAGATGGAACCATCAAAGGTTCAATGAATGTATTTTGAGAAAATACGGGCAAGTTACAGTGTTAACTGTATTCACTTTATATGTCATTGTTTTACAGATTGATAATAACAAAGTAGCCAAACTGCTGTTTTAACAGCTGTCAAATAAGTAAGAAATATCATGAAGGTGTAAAGGCCTCCATTTAATATCGTAGAATAAGCTCTCCAAATGATTTAACATTTTTAGATAGACATTTAAAATGACTTGATATGACTAATTTTAATGTTTTAAGAAAAAAGGCAAGTTTATCAAAAATATTAAATCATGTGGAAAAATTATGCAACAATATTAAATAAATGCCCAAGCGCCTGACAACGTTGGGGATTATTCCATTAAGTGTGAATTGTTTGAAATTCAGAAATTAGTTCTGCCAAAAAAACAAACAAAAAAAAACCTAAATGGAAAACAGAGCTAGCTTGTAGAATTTTTCCCAACTCAACTGTTTTGGCCTTAAACTTGAAACTCTATTTTATTTAGTTTTGGTAGTGACAGTTTTTCCAGGAACTTTTTTTCCCTTCCACTTTTTTTTTCCTTCTAAATATTGTGTTTATTTGGTATTTTGGCATAGAATAGATTGTTACAGAAAGGAAACGTTGCACAGGTTCGTGTGTGTGTATATACTTATATTTCCATTGGGTCGACCGGTACGCTGAGTCTGGTAGCAGTATACCGTTCTATGGTTATACCTTTTTATCAATACATTGAATATGTGTGAACACAGCGGCCCATATTTGCAGGGGGGCCCTGGATTATTCAGGGGTTTTGTCCGTGGGCGCTCCCAGCAAGTGTGTGTCATTTTGTGGCTTTATGGCCTTTATAACCAAGAGCCCCTCCACATTTTTAACACCTCTAGTGAACAGACTGTTTTATCTAATATTTGTAATACTCCAGAATGACTTCACTTAAGAGTCTATTGGAGACCAACAGTGCCACCTACTGAAAAGATTTAGTACTGAAACCCAGCTTTTGTGTGTGTGTGACTTGTCCATGTAGCATTTGCTGAGTTTGGGCTAGTGCCAGTGGTATGGAAGCTTTGGAACTCCAGGTGTTGTGGACTACACCTCCCATGAAGCTCGTATAACTAATACTTTCAAAGCATCATGGGAGATGTAGTACACAACATCTTGAGTGCTGAAGGTTGATTTCCACTACGTCCCAGGTTTTGTAATAATTTGCAACTACCAAGAACATGAAATTGATTTATTTTTTTTAAATGCATCTACTTGGAAATGCAGTGTCTTTAAATTAATGATTTCCTTAAAAATGCTCTTGCATTATAATACCAGAAGTGCAAGCAACGCTCATCCACACAACCCCACTCACAAGGGCTGATTCACCAAGCATTGAATTGTAGTAAATTCAGAAACAAATTATGAAATTTAGTTAAAACAGTTGTGACTATAGCTGAATTGGAGATTCCCCCCCAAGAAGTTTTTGCATAAATTACACAAATGTGTTGCCCATTTACTATAATCCAAGCATTGTTCTCTTCTCCGTTAAGTGGTTAAATAATGCACAAAACCTGTTTTTTTTTTTAAATCTTGTTCTGTCACTTACCTTTAATAACAAGTGTATGTGATCGGTAAGTAATCCCTTGTACCGCATCTGTCCTGTTTCCAATGGGATCTAATAGAGGGAAATGGAATGGAACGGCTATAAAGTAAAGAGGGCAGCAGGCCAGAAAGCAGAGCGATCCTTTGTGGCAGATCTCCGACATTTATTCGGTATATGGTAATCCCTCCAACCCGAACCCAAACTGCATTTTCCCCAATGGAATATCCAAATCAGATCCAAAGCACTCACCTTTCCACTAAACAGCAACTTCAATGTTGACAGATTGTATTTGTTTTTTTTTAAAACTTATGCAATGTTACCACCTTATATGATCATACATGGCATAAGCCAGCCACAATGTCAATGTATCCCATCTTTGGCAGGTCCGCATCCTAGGGCCCTATTTAGCCTTGTACTGCAGAGAGCCCAAGATGGAATCCCCCCCAAGTAAGTGGGTTAATCTCCTAAGAGCAGACATTAGGCTGTTAAGAGTAGGACCTGCCAAAGATGGGGTACATTGAAGTTGTGGCATGCTTATGCAATGTATGATCATATAATGTAACTAAACCCCCATTATTTTTGCCTAGATTAGGTGTTTTAAAAAAACAAAAAATCTGTCAACACTGAATTTGCAGTTTAGTGGATAAGTGGGTGCACTGGATCTTGTGTATTGTATAAATTCTACCCCAGCAGCACACACCCGAAAAAAATTGAAGATGGGGCTGCACTCACGGTCTTCAGGTAAAATATGTCTTTATTTGAATCAAAGTTCCAGGGTATTCGTTTCAGTCCCCTGTCGGAACGTTCTTCAGGATCAGGACTCTGAAGAAAGTTCCGACAGGGGACTGATACGTTGATCACTCTGGAACTTTGATTCAAATAAAGACATATTTTACCTGAAGACCGTGAGTGCAGCCCCATCTTCTATTTTGTATACAAATTTGTGCCTTTGGGATTGGCACCTGGCTATATTATGCAACTGTTGAGCCCGAGTGCAAGGACAAAACCTGAAATATATGATAGTAGGGGGGGATTTCTAAGTGTCATAACTTTAAATAAAAAAATTTTTTGCACAATAATTGGTCCAATGGAATATTCCCAGTCTCCATGGTGATGGTTCCACTTTTAAAACTTTACATTGCTTTTCTACTATGGCTTCTATATAAACCTTGAAAGTGAAAGTTGCTATTTATAGAGATCCACTCAGGTCCTCACAAATTCTTTACAGATCTGTCTTGGACAATGGTGACTAGTTGCATCTGTATTGTCTGCTCCAACAAACTACGCTATAACAAGGAAACCATTCTGGGCCAGCAACAAAGGCATAGTGCAAGACAAGGAGCATATAAAGGGTGTCCCACCCCACATACTGCAAATTCCACAGAAAGCCACATCTAAAAAAATTATGCATGAAAAGTGTGTGTTCCTTCCAACATACTGTCTAAACAGGTCTCCATTATCTCATTCTGCCCACAATGCAAACAAAAGGGGTACTAGTCTATTGAAGAGCCTTCTGCTGTGTTTCATTGTATCCTGATCACGGTGGTATGGCTGTAATATCTCCATCGGAATGTGGAAGAGAATGTTAAGAAACATAGAACATTCTCATCTGCTAGAACTAGACCAACAATCCATTAAAGCAGTGGTTTCTAAAGCAGCCCTCAATGCACACTTACAAGTCTAGGATGTAGGTATTACCCAGTTGTGTCAATGTGTTTTTTTCTTTCTAAAAAAACACCTTTGACACAACTGGCTAATCCCTAAATGCTGGACTGGAAGGCATGCCTTGAGGACTGGTTTTGAAACCATTAAAGAGTCAGCCATGATTTGACGGGACTGTACAAAGAAACTGGACCCCAGACACTGTACATCCAGATTAGAAGCCCATCAGCAGTCTATGATTACGTCTGATTTGGGAGATTAAAGTATAAAACCAGATGTTGGCACGTGTTTTTGTTTGTTTTTTTAACAGATGCTTCCATAAAGAAATAAATTTTTACTCGAGAGCACAGTTTTTAGGCCCAGTCTAGTGTGCAACATCCCTCTTTCTACCGCATTGCTTTTAAACAACCAACCAGCATTAATGGCACTCAGCGCATTTAATATTTGTAGCCCTTAAGTAATGTGATCTAGGATTACTTGCAAGGTCTGTCTGATTCTCTCTGCTTGTGTTCTTTGTGTGCAGGAGACAGCAGGACACCTTTCATTTGAGACCAGTTCACACTGTGGATGAACACCCAAATTAGAGGAGGCCGAATGCCCCTGATGTTTCTCGCTTTGGTTTTCACAAAATGATGATAAAAATATTCATAACAAACCCTTTACTTTATTTACACTGTGTATTTTAAAAAAGGGACATGTGTGGGGGGTGGGGGGAAGGCAATCAAAAATAAATCACACTTGGAGAGACAGCAGTAAGGAGTTGAGGGGTATAATGTGTATGTATAATATATGTCAGATATATTATACAGACATTTATTGATATTAAAAACCACAGTTCAATAGACTCCCTTTGGTAGAAACTGTAATAAAGGAGGTGGTGGTTTGTAAGATGTTACCCCTATGGCACCGTACCACTGTTACAAAGATAACTAACAAAAGATTAAACTAAGACAGCGATAGCTATAAAATAAGATGCTGACATAAGGACAGTGGATGTGTGGAAGGACCCTTTTTGACGTTATTTACAGTTTTTTTGTATTTACATAAAGGGGTTGGGGGTAAATCTGCTTGGACTACGTGGTAAGGGTAGCTGGCAGGATATTTTCAGTAATACTAAATCCCTTCTCAAGTCCAGTAAGGCTTGTTTTGGCAGCAAAAGAAGTGAATAAAACTTCTGGATGTGCTGTTTGTACACTCCGATCCCTGTATCCAATTGTTCTAGCTGAGACTGATGCTGCTGCTTTCCAAGCCTCTGCGAAGTTCCACTAGAGGAAGATGGTTCGGATGTCGATTTCCTTATGGGGTTTTGAATGCTGGTCCATACTTGACTCTGTACTTGTTGATGTCCACAAAGTGGAGTGTCTCAGAGTCCCTCGTGGTGGCACAAGGCACCATGCCCTCAACTCCTTCTCCCATCAGCCATTTCCTGGTGTCAGTAGCCATCTCCCGACTGACGTGCTCCAGGTTCCACTTGCTGAGCCAGGACTGGAAGCGTTGGTGAAGCCGCTTGCTGACACGTTCGTGAGACTGAAAGGAGAGCAGAGTAAATTAATGCATTATGATTGTATAATGAAGAGATTGCATTTCTCAACAACGTCATAACCAGGGCTTTTGTATACTTCTGGACAAAAGCAACTATGACATTTTAATCCCTAAACACATGGGCCTTGTTTTGATTCACTAATGATAAATAAAACCACTAATTTGGAAATAAAAAAGGGGGGAAACTATATTATATTTAATTAATACTATTGTAAGTATAATAGTGACATTTAAAAAAATAAAAAATCTAAACTACAGAAACGTAAATTTGTTTAATAATTAATCATTTCAATTCTTCAGCAGGCTATACATGAAATTGCTGGTATGTCCCAAGTTTAGGGGCTAGTTATGCTAAAAAGATTTGAATGAGAAGTGCTAATGGAAGGGGTTCCCCCATGAGGCTTACTATTTGGTTTTTAACAATTTCTTGCCAACAATATAGCACGGTGAACAAGGTTGTAGAATAAATATTTTAAAAACAATTTTAGGGATTAAAACAGTACTCGTCTCTCATCTTTCCTCACCCAAACAATGGCAGTAGAGAGACGAGACGGTCTTGGCTGTGTGCAATGATCAGCTGCATGTGGTTCGGTATAAAAACAAACACACGGTACAAGAAAATTCTCCAACAATGCATAGTGATCACTCTATAAGATGTATTGGTAACTGAACACTGAATAACACTAATTTAGCTGGTGAAATGATAGTACATGTATTCCTGTGAGAGCCTGTGAGTGATATAAAAAGCATCAGGTTTTATTTAACATATAGTCCCAAGTCTGCTAGGTATTTGATCAATAATACTGCTATATCCTTTAAGAAGTGTTCTAAAAAAAAAACCCAGCAGCTTGAATCACAGGTACCAAACGACAATACATTATATATATATATATTCTATATGTCAGGGATCAAATGTCTTAAGCCACTAGACAAGCATACCTCACACTGTTTCTACCATATTGTACGTACTTTGATGTCTAGACACAAGGAACTGATTAGCTGTAAGCAAACAGTATTTTGGGCACAGCCATAAAAAGGAGCCCAGTCCTATGTATTTTGTCGCTTTCTGAAGCTCCGTCCGTAAACCAGTGAACTAACAAAACTGACACCCCGTGGCCCATTTGTTGGACCCTCCATCCTCTTTCCCCCCCATGCGTTGCATCACATTCTACATAGTAAACTGGAAGGTTGCTTACCTGCTGGGCCCTGACCAGGGCCGTGCGACGGTACATGTAGTCCTCAGATTTTATAACATACACCATCTTGTAGGAGTTCAGCTTGAATTTGCACTGCAGCTTGTCCAGACTCTCAAGATTCTCCAAAGCCCGCTTTCCAGTGCCCTCTTTCTCCTGCTGCTCACGACCCTTCAAGCATTTTCTGATCCGGCACAGGTTCCTGTTTTTTCACAAACAGAATCTGTGATCTCTAACCTATAGTGTGTCCTATTTGTTCATTTTGCAAAAACGCAGATATCAGTAGAAATTGGCACTTACATAAAATTCACCTGGTTACACCCCCAAACTGACAATCAGACAACAGGTCCTGTTACTTCCTGGTTTGTTTATCTCAGTGAAGCTAAACTCTAGAGTCAGCTAATTGCTCAGAGCACCTGCCTTGCAAAGACTTCTCACTGAGCTGCACTGGAACGTCTGTGATTGGACAGCAACATAAAGCCAGTTCGTAGAGGCAGCAGACAAGAGATCTGCTGCTTTTGCAAGCTGTTTTAGATATAACCCCAATGAAAAATACATAATTAAATGCATGTCAATTTTCATTTTGGGTATATCTCCTAAATAATGACTTTTTTGTATTTGTGCAGTGGAGTGTCTTATAATGGTCTCTATGTAATGAGATTAGTGGACAATTAGTGCCATCCGTTATATGCCACATTTAACATCTGAGTCAGCCCCATTACTTTCATTAAGCAACACACAGAGCTAGCCCATCGCTCTACTGCAGAATGACAGGCACTAAATGAATACATAACGACACAATGGCATGGAAGTAACTTTTGTTCCCCATTAATGTCACCGTATTGTGATAACACCCAAACGAGACATGAGAAATTGGAAAATGTATCTGTACATTTAGAACAAAACAACAACAAAAAGAATACAGATATAGAATGAAATTCCTTCATGCTGGGAGGAAGGGAGGGATGGATGAAACACCACTTGGGAGCCCAGATGAAATCAGCTACCTGAATTAGGTAAACTCAGAGATGTCTCCTATTGCAGCCAGGGAGCTGGGAGTGACTGAGGTACAGGCCAGCTACTCAATCAGGGTCATAAATGCAGCAAGTGGCGGAGGACACTGTGGGAGGACACCAGGGGCTCGTATGGACAAGGAAAGTGATACTACAGTGTAATCCCGAGCATGGCTCAGGGTTACCGCTTTTAATACTGAAAATTAACCCCGAGCAGTGCTCAGGATTACCGCCAGGGTGGTTAAGACCAAACAGGAGCAAGGACCGGTGGGTCCCCAATGCTTCTTTATGAAAAGCATTTTACCTTTTCCAGAGATTATCAGCTGGGATGATCTCACAGAGGAGAATCAGGCTGTAAAGAGACTACTTCTGCTTACAGTTAAAGGTACACTGTAGGCTCCCAGACCACTTCAGCTCATTGAAGTGGTATGGGTGCAATGTTCCTATTGCCCTCAGTGCCGCAATGGTAAACACTGCAGTTCCAGTGAAACTGCAATATTTACATTGTAGCACTAAGTCTGGCTCCCAGACAGCCACTGGAGGCACTTCCTGCATCCAAATGGACCTTTGGTCTGGTGACTGATGCATTGTGATATCTGCAGGCATCTATGACACACGCAGGACAGAATGAAAAGGGACCTTCAGTACCAGGAAAATCACCAGAGAAAAAAAACAAAAACTTTTGTACAGATTATAATCCTGGTTCAGTTTGATTTTGCAGAGCAAGAGTTAAATATGCAGCTCACCTGGGTAAAAATACAGGCTTCTGTGTCAGGTGTTCTCTCAGCTCTGGGGAAGTGGAGTCACAGTTCATGTACCTCTCCACATAGTCCGACCATCGCTGGAAGAAAGAATGGGTAGCGTTAGTACAGGGCCTAAGGTGCGAGTGACATAACACAAAGAAGAGGTGAGAACATGTAGCCCAAAAGAATGGAAGCGATAGATAGTTCACCGTTACACCTTGAGGCTGGCAAAGTATCATGTGAACTGCTGATTTACATCTACCTGGCATTAGATAGGAGGGAGCAAATAAAACCGGGATGTACTAGAGAGGAAACACACAGCACAAATACTCTAAATAGTATATAACTGCCTTTTTAATATTTTTATGGAGTTTTATATAAATCTCCAGAAGTTTATGAACTCTCACAAAGAACAATGTAGTATTTTCTACCTGCGACATGGAAGATAAATCTAGAAAATAAGTGGAGCTACTTGCAAACAAACTGTGTTATTTCTTAAGATAGAATCAGATAAGGACCATGACTCCCTAATGCTGTAGAGATTTATGTTCCCAGATACACGTATACATTAAAAAAAAGAAAAAAAAAATTATTTTGAGTTGGCCATTTGGTGTTAAAATTCAAAATTTCCTTTCAATTCTCTACAGTTTCCATTTTTTGATGTTCCAAACCACATCCCGTGTCTTCAATTTGTTACAGAGTAAGCAGGGACTTTTTTTTTTTTAAATGATTAATAAAAAAAAAAAAAAATCTACTGATGGGCTTAGAAGGTTAGCTGACCTCTCTAAGACAATCTGCGGCTCCCTGCTTCCTCTATCGGACTTTAGTAAATAACTGCACACTGCTAGATTTTAGTCCAGGTAGCTTTACTAACTGGAGTGAACATTGCTGAGGAAGTCTATTCAGAAGTATGAATGAATTCCATTAATCTATGATGTCAACATCTCTAAAATGTCATGCTTAAGATGAAAATTCCTGGTAAATTAGAGTATATTTTCCCTCCATGCCCGAACAGAACTTCTGTAAATCAATACACTTAACCCCTTAAGGACCAAACTTCTGAAATAAAAGGGAATCATGACATGTCACGTGTCCTTAAGGGGATAAATGAACATTGCAAGCACCATAACAACTATAGCCTGCTGTAGTGTTTACAGTGCCAGGAGTACCCTGGTGTCCTTTCAGAGTAAGTTGTCAAACTATTTTACAATCTACCTATGTGCAGCTAAGCACCCAGAGCCCTGCTTTTTAGAGTCTCTTTGTAGGAGACTTTAATTAATTCCACTGAACTATCCAGGGTCGTAGTCATTTTTTCGGAGCATCAGCTGAGCACGGCCCCATAGTGAGTCATGCTTAGCTCAAGAAAAGCCACATGTGGCTCAGGTACCAATGTAAGTTGTGAAACTGTTCTAAAACGGTTGACAAATAACCTTAAGGGCCCTCCTGGTCTCATAACCATTACAACGGGCTATAGTGGTCATGTTGCTTTGTGCCCCTTTACTCATATAAAATATGCTGATCTGTAAGCAACATCCACACAAACCTGGAATAACAGACTAATTCAAGCTCAGAGTTGTACCCTATTACTAACTATGCATAATTATTGAAAGACAATAGCTATAATAAAGGAACATGTCAATGGGAAAATCTCATTGAGAAGCTTCTGATTTTGAGCTAAGAGCAAGTGCGTGCCTGTGGCTTTCAGTCAAAGTTCTCCAGGCCAAAATCCAGGGAGTCCGTGGACAGGACTGAAGTTGGCGTATGTGCAGGCGCAGACAGGAACACTAGGGGGAGAACGTAGGAATGCTCCATCAAACTGCGTTGGCCACTTCAGTTAGCTCCGTGGAATCGGAAAGAAAGCCTGACAGCCAGTGAGGTGGTTCTGAAACTAGTTACAAAAGTGCCAATTTCAAAATCCTCACACAAGTAAGCTGAAGTGCTTTGTGTGTGGAGGGTCACTTTAAGCACTCATCTGAAACCTATCTTTAAAGCCAACTGGTGACCCTACTGAGCTGAAAACTGCGAGGCACCTGAATTTTGCTGCTCTCTTTGGTTGTTGGTCAAGCTTATTTAATAGTTTGCAGTGGTCTCTCTGTTTTAGTGGTGTCTTTCGTATCGTATGAAGAAAAAGGTTGAATTAAGTAAAAGGAAACAGTGGCATCTATTATAAGGGTGGGTTTGCAATTCCTGCACGCATTCTTTGCCTTTAGTTTAAATGAAGAGTTGCTTTATTTTAAAAGCAAACAGCCTGCAGATTTTAAGATTTAAAAAAAAAACAAAAAACTATTTAACATAAAGGAAAAGAGAACTCCTTTTGTTACCCCAATATCCTTAAGAGTCAAATTTTAAAAAAAATAATAAAATGAAAAATACTGCAGCATTTCACAGAGAGGAGCACAGTAACATAATATCCTAATGGTTTCATTTCAGTGTGATCTGTCTGGACAACGTGTAAGCACCTCCAGAAAGTAAATTACTCCTGAAATTAGGGTTGTCATCTACTTATATCACAGAAGCCTGAAACAACTTTACCAATCTGTTATTACAAGACAAGATTTCATATGTAAATTAATAACAGCTTGTTTATTCGATGAAGAATCTGATTTCTGGGGCAAGGAATTTTTTAATTTTTTTTTCTATAGCACAATTGGAAATCACCTTTTTTGCCTTCTTTTAGATTAACAGGGAAATGTGTGTGAAACGTTGAATATGATAGACGCAATTCTCTTTCTCTCTGGAGTTTGCTGCTACTGTTATTAGAAGTCTCTCCTAGTGTCAAGTAAATGTTGTTTATACTGCAGCACACTATAGTGGTTATAGTTCTCGGAAATATTGTTCTCACTATAACATCAGAAAGCCAATGGCAGACCAACCACCAATATCCCATACTCCCTAACTTCAATACACTCTGGCGAAGGTGAGCAATGACCGCAGTGGAGTACAAGGTTGCAGCAAGAACTTGGCGTCCGTGCTGGATCAAAGGGAATTTCCGCTTTGGGGGACCAGCACAGTAAGGTTTACTTTAACTAAAAACACTGCTTTTTGATTGAATTCACTCTTCAAATAGTTTAGTATCACCGAAAAGGCCTATAATTGAGTGTCTTTACTTAGAATTACGATTTTGCTTTTATTAAGGTCAAGATTCCAAAGGTTGAGAATGTAATGGAAGATTCCAATCAAAGCTAACGCACCTGGATTCCTCATCAACTCCAGTGTGTAATAGTGGAGAGAGGGGCAGCACAAACAGGCTAGGTCTACACATTATACATGGTTGGACAGTAGTGGTCAAAGACACTTTATTTTCTAAACTACTTTTATGATGTATCCAACATGATTCACATCAGTCGTTCAGGTACTGTTGCAAGTCACTCCGCAGATAACCCCAAATTCCTCAACGATGGTGTCCTCCTTCATACAGAATGAAAGGGATGAACAATATATATTTTCTGTTCCATAGACCTAAAATAAATTATCTCCCACCCTCCCAACATCTAATAAGCTTCAGAAATTTTCAGCTCACTTTAAAGAATTACATTTCTTTAATGTGATTCGTTCTTTAAAACCTTTAGAAAACCCATGCCCTTGAAAACCATGTATCTTGTGTTTTTAGATGTCTTATTTTAGGTTGGAACATCTTAATATCCTAGCAAAATATTTATTATAGTTTACCATTTAAGCAATTCATATCAATAAGTACATTTTACTAATGAGGTTCGCAAAAACTCCAAAAATGTTTAAGGAGTTGTAGCGAAGAAACAACACAACATGTGGTTGGTCAGAAGAAAAAAAAAAAAAAAAATGGCATCTTTCTTAAGACCAGAATAAAAAAGTGATAGGTGTTAATCCATCTCTTAAAACCACAGTCTTTCAGTCACAGACAAAGAATCAAGGTGTAGTCTATCCAGGTACACTCAATATTATAAATCAACTTAGCAGGTGGATAGAACTAATGTGGCTAAGCAGAAAGTTTTACAATCAGACCAACGTAACGCTGATGGGAAGCCATGACACGAAGAAGGCCATAGAATAACTTGCAAAGTTTATTAGGAAATGTATATATTCCGTGTGAAACTGTACCAGAGGTTAATATATATATATTATATAAAACTAGTCTGTTTTCTTACTACCCAAGTAATTCTGACCACAAATGGGTAACCCTGCCACCCAGAAATGCTGGCATTGATTGGTAACAAGTGGCAGACCGCAAGAAAAAGTGTATTAAGCCGTTTATTAAAATCTGCGTGCTCCAGGGTTAATAAGATGCCAGGTGTTGCCTTGTAGTTACATACCCAACCCACTCTTCTGCCTTGACGGGTGAGATACAAATTTAGATAAGTTCATTCAGCCTTAAAAATAACCCAAATGCACTCAGAGAAAAACATTAACTCCACATATCTGTTGGGCTTTCAAACACCACCAGTGTTACTTGTAGTTTTTTCACATCATGTTTAAAAGCAATGAACTGTGGAATGATAAGATTTGTTTTTTTTTCCTACATGGCTTTCTGTATTAGAAATATATCTCCTTATTTAGATAATTATTGCATACGTGAATGAACTTCAACACAAAGTTTGCTAAACTAGTAGGGTTATTCATTAAACAAAGAACTCTAAAGAAGAGACTAGGTAATTGCAAATTTAATGCTAAAATAGTGTTAGAGAAAAATTCTCCAATCTCAAAGATTTTGGTCTAAAATGTGCAGTTCCCTTGTCAAGTTTCAACAATTTCAAGTTTGGTGAATAATGCTTGACGGTCATTATCAAAGTTATTTACTAAAAGGGAAATTACAGTCACCAGAACAAATCGATCTTAATGTAGTGGTTCTGGTGTCTAAGCTGTCCCTGCAGGCTTTTTATGTAAACACTGTCATTTCTGGAAAAGGCAGTTCTTACATTGCTGCCTAGTAACATCGGTCACTCAGACACTCACAATAGGTGCTTCCTGGGTCAATGCTGCACTTGTGTTAAGCGTCTGTTTTGCATGGAGGCGCTGAACCTTCTCTGAGGAGATGCAGATTGGAACAGTGCTAGTTTGTGGGCATGCACAATAGCCTCCCAATGCTTTCCTAAGGGAAAGCATTAGAATGGCTGAGATCGTCAAATTTGAGGGGAGACCGGTGCGGCGCTGGAATAAATAAAATATAGTAGAATACTTATTCAAAGTGAGGTAAGAAGCGTAAATCGTGACTTCACCAGTCTAGTGTCAGGAATACAGGTTGGTATTCTTGACACTATAGTGTTCCTTTAAGACCAAATGCCCCTAGTCTGGATTAGGAAAAAATTTAAATAAATAAAAATCATCACTATCATCTGGTTACCAAGTGGGTGCATTGGGACAACAAAATCCAGATCCTGATCATAATGTTAATCAATAACCGGTTTTGAAACATACGCTGAAATCTAAACTACATCCACATTAATTTTGAGGCTAACAGAATGCTTAAAATCAGAACAGATTGATAGAATAGGCTGTGGAAGTTCAGATTCAACAGAACACGCCATTAACGTTCATAAAATAAAATACAAATAAAATAAAAAGTATGAGAATTGCAAATCTGGTTGCGGATCAGTTATTTTAACAAAATTGTGTTATTCTGGTTTAAATGCAGTCCTTAACAATAAATTCTTACGAGGTTATTTGCCAACAAGTTAGTCTGCCATAGAATATCAAAAGCATTATGCAATTATTTATTCTTAGATATCCATTGACACCCAACCCCCCTCACTGGTTTCTGCCAAGTTCAGAAATATACCAACGAAAAAAGTTTTAAAAAGGACCACTGAGCACCAAAAGCACTTCACAAAAGTAGTGAGCAGTGGCCAGACTTCACCGGTGCTTTCTACATTTTAAGTGTTGACACCGCTTAATGCTTAACTTGTGCTCCAACTGACTTTCCTCTGTTTGAGCAGCAGTAAAATGCTGAGTGTATTAGGTTTCTGCATTTGCGAGAAGAACTCTTTAAATCATTAAAAATAGCTTTCCAAAGATGGAATATGAAATTTATACATATAAAATAAATGTGTGTGTGTGTATATATACACATATATATATATATATATATATATATATATATATATATATATATATATATATATATATATATATATACACACACATACACACACACACACACACACACACACACGCAGTGGGACTTTTCTATATATTGCTATTGTGTTTTTGTAACCATTGGGGGCTGGCTACACTTAACTTGCAAACTTCTCCTTTGCATCATCTGCGACTTTAACGGTGTGCTCCTAAGGCTAATAAAGGCAAGATGGCGCCAAACGTCTCTGGACACCATAACCACTTAATTCTCATGCAGTGGTTTTGGTTACCAGAGCAGTCCTTTAACCCCTTAAGGACACATGACATGTCTGACATGTCATGATTCCCTTTTATTCCAGAGGTTTTGTCCTTAAGGGGTTAAGCAATATTTAAGCACAATGAATGCCGTAGGTGGCATCCGAAGCACAAAGTTAATGTTAAAAAGACCGGTCAAAAACTAGCGGACGTAATGGATTTTGTCTTTAAGTGAATCTGTACAGATATGATAAACTACTTTGGAGAAGAGAGACCAACTGGGAATTTATTCACTAATTTAGGAATGGCGGAAGACTGACAAAGCAATTCAAGATTTAAGGTCAAAATTTCCAGAAGATTCCCTCTCCTCCCCCCACACTACATACATTTGGACTAAAATGTGCAGTTACATTGTCACATCTCTACAATTAAACATTTAGTGAACAACATGTAGGCTAACTGAATAATGCAGATCTAGATTAATCAAACTTTTTTTTTTTATTTAGTTGAGAAATACTTGAAAACACAGCTATCTGAGGACCTCCATAAATATTCCTGTTTAAAAGAACACTCCATTTATTTAAAACACTCAAATGTTTTCTGTCCTCTTTAGATTACGGTGTCCATCCCCACTTAAAGGAGCACTACAGGGTCAGGAAAACAAACATGTATTCCTGACCCTGTTGGGTTAAAACCACCATCTAGCCATCCTGGTCCCCTCATGCCTCCCTAAACCTAGTAAAATCTTACTTGTATTCAAGTCTGCAGCTGCATACTATGTCCCGGTTTCCTTTAGACCTGCCCACTGCCTGCTAACATCAGCAGAAGTGGTAGCCTGATCCTAACACAATTCTTCCCCATAGGATTGGCTGAGACCGACAAAGATCAGGGGCAGAACCAGCATGATTCAAACACAGCCCTGGCCAATCAGAATTTCCTCATAGAGATGAACTGAATCAATGAATCTCTATGAGGAAAGTTCAGTGTCTGCATGCAGAGGGAGGTGATACTGAATGTTTGGATGCATTTTAGGCAGCCATGACCCAGGAATGATCTCTAACAGCCATCTGAGGAGTGGCCAATGAAGTGATCACTAGGCTGTAATGTAAACACTGCATTTTCTCTGAAACAAGAAGCGTTTACAGCAAAAAGGTAATGAAGGTAATGATTCTACTCACCAGAACAAATTCAATAAGCTGTAGTTGTTCTGGGGACTATAGTGTCCCTTTACTACAAAGAGTTTACTTACGTATAATCCAGTGGGTGACAGTTCCTCCTCTGAGAGACCCTCAGTAATAACCATCTCCCGGCCAACCCAATGCTTCTCAAAGATACATTGGGATGAGATGCAATCAATCAGGAAGTTCACCCTCCTGGCTGTCAGATAGTAAAGGTTAAAAGTGCTGATTTCTTTTCAGATCTAAAGGGCTTTAAAATGCCTTATATCAAGGGGAGGGGAAAAAAGAAAAATCCTTTCTTTCTATATTCTCCATTTCATCCATAAGCTCCTGTGTAGGTTTTATTGAATCTAGATAAAGGACTGATTGGGACAGACTGAAGGAATGTACAATATCGCTCTTCGCTATTAAAGTACAAAACATTTCTACGATTAGAGATCTATTGATAAAAGAAGTTACATTAGCAATCTCTATTAAGGTCAGGAAAGCAAGACTGATTACCTAAGCTGCCCAAAGCCTTGTGAAAAAAAAAAAAAGTAAAAAAAATAAAAACAAACATTTTCAGACCAATTTGATACAATTTGTTTATTTTATTAAACAACTTTTCCTTCAAGCAAGTTGTATAAAATATAAATTTTAAATGTGTTCCATCTAAAATAAAATTGCCCAGCACTGCCAATCTAAAACAGAAAGTGTTGTCATTTTAAGTAAGGCAGATGCATACCTTTAAATGTTCAATCAAGGAAGGAACAGTGGCTTTTTATCCTCAAAATTTGTATAGTAAGCTCCTGCTGTAGGTGGTTACGTTACTGTGTGTGCAATCTTTTTTTAAGTTGAAAATTAAGAAGATTATAATGTAAAATATGGATTTTATAATTGGCACATGATTAAGGACTTAAAAATAAATTTAAAAAAAAAAGCAAACAGGGTATTTAATAATTGCCCAACATTTTCCAAATCAGTTCCAGATGATTCAGTAAGATATAGAGATGTTTGCTGTTTTAAGCAGTAGTAATTGATATTGTGATGTAAACTGAAGTTACTTTTTTTTTTTTTTAACTTACCAATCGAGATAATTTTGACAGACAGTGATTAGCAAAGGGTTTCAAATCTAAAATTTCATTTAGTTTAGCAATCTCTCCGAAAATCTTATCTGGCTGGAAAGCAGTTTATTCTTGTGCTCTCTCCACATTTATAGATACTAAATGACAGACTGGCACTGCACTTATATTTAGTGGGTTGTTTTGTTTTTTTGTACCTGCTCTGAGTGTTCCATAAAGAAACTAAGATTTTTTTTTTTTTTCCCCTGCACACAAATAAGTGGAGAAAGAAAAAGGGCACAAGTCCATCTGGGAAAACTAACCCAAACACCTAAGATAGGAGCCATTTTTATTAAATTTTTGCCCATCAAAAACATCCTTTGCAGGGTAAAGGTTTGCATTTACACAAGCATCTTCTACTTTATTTTTACAGCAATGCTCTGTGCTTGACAGGATTATTTTATGGTATGTCAATGCTTCTAACTAGAAAGCACATTTAAAAAAAAAATAAAAACTGTACATTAGGTCTTCACACAAAGACGAAAAAAACAACAAAACAAACAAAAAAAAAAAAAAACCCACCAACCCTTGCCTTCCCTCAAAAAACAACAAGCGCAGCTTGCAACAGCCCACCAAAGCACGTGCATTGTGCATGTTCGGTCTGAAATCGTCCAACTCTAGCCGCTCCCTCCGCTTTCCATGAAGGAGCCAGAGGCTTGGAGGTGAAGTTTTGTCTGTAGATCCAGACGTCTTAAGCTACACAATTAACAATTAGACAAACACCTGAATAGTATAGAAATAGAATCCACCATGGCACACACTTAAATCCACATGTATCCTTCAATGTTCTCAGCTATGTTCGTTGCCAGTTCTTAGGAAACGTTCCTGTGCTACTCGAAACGTATACCCAATCCAGTTCCCCTCATTCTCTTCTAGAATACAGGGGGTCCAAGATTCTTCAATTTATGTTTAACAGCGTTCATTTCTGAAATACCCAGAAAGTACATTCTCCCTCAGCTACAGTAATATGGATATTTTTTACCTCTTTGCAGACTCAATATATTGTTTATTCCCTATGGGAATTATTTATTAAACTGATTTATTTGGCAGTTTCTTCATAGCACACATGCAAAAGTTTTGTGGGGGATTTTTTATTTTTTATTTTCAAATGTCTCAAGATTCCGAACATGGTTTAAAGTGATTAAGCAGATCTCACCCAAAACATTTTTTGTGCTCCGAACAAAAGTATGTTACAGCTATAAGCAGTCTGCCTCCCCCATGACTCGTTTATGTTCTAAGAGGAAGCAATGTTTACCAAAATAATTTCAGGCGTGCCCCCTATTCACATTGCCACTGCTTCCTGTTGAGGAGCGGTTGTGTGGTCGTGTTCATATTATGAAGGCCATGAACGTAGCCACCAGTAGACCAGTTTTATTCATACTTTGGCACTGTTAGGGACTGATTAACTACAGTATCTAAACACTAATCCTTCCTTGTAGATTCCATTTACCAACAGATGTACATTTGTAAAGAGTTTGGCAGCAGTCCATTACAAATAAAAAGTATCCAATTTATATCAAATATTTCTTTCTGTATTTGACTGCTATCAAAACATCTGCCTGTCACTTCTAGTGGTGCAAAACCATGCATTTGTCCTCTGCTAGTTCAGAATAATCTTTCAGTAGGTACCTTGAAACTACAGGTGGATAGAGATGGTATAATGAGGTACTTGGTATTAAAAAAAAAAAAAATTAAAAAATGAGGGGGGAATAAAACAACCCCAGCTCCCCCTAAAAGTGTGAAAAGGCAGTTACATTAATCAATAAATGTGCACAAGCCCATTAACTACTGCCCAACATTTAAAATAATTAAAAATGTACAGCAACATCTGATAAAAACGCAAATAAAAAATAAAATAAAACACAAACACTAAAAACCACTGATAAGCAGCACACAACATGACCAAAAATAAATAGAAAATAAAACCACAAACCCCCCCACAAAAGGTTTTTCTTTTAAAATAAAAGAAAGGCGCATAACATGGAGATCCCTAAATGGAGGTTTATTTACTAAATTAGGAAATGAGGAGAACAAGTGAACAGCATATTTTAGGCCAAAACAGGACTGGAAAAAATAAAATTCAGTGTAGGCTTTTTCAGATCCAGCTATTTTGGTCAAAAACTATACTTTCCTGTTTACTGCTCCACTGTCACCTGTTCGTAACTAACTCCCAATGTTTCGCTGCAAGACCCTCTCTATCAAGGCATAGAACTAGCTACTTACCACTAATGATTATACGGTGTGTGATTAGCGAGGATATTGCTTGTACTTTAATATAGCTAAATAAAAGATTAGATTATACTACACGGTAAGAGTGGAAACCCTTTGCGCACACCTTATTTCGGGAGCTAGACTCAAAGGAGCAAGTTAAAAACACGAGAACGGATTTAAAGGAAAAAAAATAAGATCACTTCAAAACGCCTTTACAGACAGAGTAGCAAGATCGCCAAATATACATTTGAAAAATGGAGCAATATATCAAAGACATTGTATTATGAGCAGTATTGTAGAAATTCTCAGCACAAAAAAAAAATAAAAAAAAATTGGTTAACGCTAAAAAGGCCAGCAAAACCATAACTTCTACTAGAACCAACAAATATATAAGTAAAGGGGCCCTGACAATGTAAAACTATGGGGTAAACCAACTAGGAGATTGTTTGACAGATACAGAGGGATGAGGACAGAGACAAATTAGAATAAGAAAGTGGGGAGAGGAGGGAGAGAAAAAAAATAAAAAAAAAAATAAAAAGAGAAAAACAGAACAAATCACTGAGTCACCCTGGATCGTTAAAACAAGTTTATTATATTTACAATTTGATTATAGTTCCGATTTTTTTTAGTTTTGTCTTTTCTGGATTCTGCTATTAACAAACCACAGGTAGGTAACAATATTTTGTACAGGTATGTAAAATTCAGTCAATATGCACACTGCAGGTTGTGTGTGACCGGGGTGGATTGTGATTTGATCTCAGAAGTCGGATTCTCTACATCAGTTCTCATACATTTCCCCTCCCCCGCTGACCCCTTACACAGGGGGTCCCGGAAGTCGGGGGCCTGCCCGGGGTGGCGGTAACCGAGAGCCCCTCAGGCACGAGTTGGGCTTACCTCGGTCTCCGCTGGGTCATCTGAATTTTCCTCCTCAGTGTCCAACAGTTCAATAGTTAATTGAACCTGCCCATGGTTCTGGGAGAACAGCAGCTGTAAAAATACAAAAAGGTGAAAACAGTCAAACTTTCAGGTATTTTATAAAGTTTACATTATTACAAATATATGTGCAAAAAAGTACAGAAATACAATCCACATCCCCTTTTCTTGAAGAGGGAATTTAATGCAATATCTACAAGTCACCCATATATAAAATGTTTTTTCTTTTTGCAATTGCAAAGTTTTGCAATTCAATTTACTAAAATTTGGTGTACAGTGTATAAACCACACACTGTACAAAACGACATTTAGTACAAAATTGCCACGACGGCAATTTTGTACAAGGTTGATGTCCTGTATTCACAGCAACGTAAGGAATGTTCAGTGAACTCTAAGACTTAAGTGACAGGATCAGTAACATAAAAACAAACAACTTCTAACTCCCAAACAGATTAGAACACTACAGTTCTAAGTGCCGTTTAGCACTCCAGCCCCCCTGTCAGCAAGGTCAAATGTGATTGTACTCCCCTTTTCCAGCACCATGTGGGTCTCCTCGCTGTGGCTCCACCCCTTTGGCCGAGTTCAAACTATGATCTCAGCCAATCCAATGCTTTCCCATTAGGAAAATTTGGGGAGGATACTGCCCATGCACAGCAAAATGCTGAGCTGCGCCAATCAGCATCTCATCATAGATATGCATTGATTCAATGCATCACTATGAGGTATGCTCAGGGCCTCCATGCAAGCGTTGTTGCACATTGTACAGTACTGACCCAATAAGTACTTCTAGTGGCAGTCACTCAGACGGCAACTAGAGGGTGTTCCTATGCAGTAATGTAAACACTGAAAGGCAGTGTTTACATTTAAAAAAAAGCCTGAGGGACATGCTATAGACACCACAACTACATTAAGCTGTAGTTGTTCTGGTGACTACAGGGTCCCTTTAAAGAGAAATGGTCACTTGTCAGGAATTCTAACATTGTTTTTACGTATTCACTGTATTTAAGAGGTGTGGGGGAAAAAAAAAAAAAAAATGTAGAAATCCACTCCTCGTTATCCTGTTACTTTGCGCCTCCATCTAGGCTCCCTGTCAATCACTGCTATAAGGTCTGTTCTTTGCACCTGGCAGTCAGCATATAGAATGCATACAGAGAAGAGAGAAATTAAACAAAGTTTCCATTTCTCCTTATTTGCAATGTTTGCCCTAGCTGCTGGGCCTGGACTATGTGTGAGAAATGGAGAATGGAGCACCACATAAAAAATAAAAAAAAGATTAACACAGGTTTATAGGAGGTTATGGTAAATTTATTCAATGATGTAACTTTACAAAAAGTGACAATTCCCTTTTAACAAGTAAACACTTGGAAGTCTAAGCATATATGCTGAAAAAACCTGATGCTTTTTACCCATCATTTTAGTAATCCTACAGAGGTTCGTCCTCATTCCATGTACCATAGTTTTATTTATGTGACCTTATAAGATCACTAGCACATCTAAACCCAGTGGAGAGATACCAGGAATGTAGCAAGAAGGGAAAATTTAACAGATGGCAAAAAGGATTGGAGGACTTCCACTTTATTGGAATGTGTGAAAGTGGTCGCTGGCACAACTATGCTCACTTAGTGCAGGAGAAATACAATGGTTAGTAGAGTCTACAAAAAACAAGTGACATACCCTTGTCACTCAATCCATACAATTAAAGGGACATTATAGTCACAGAACAACTACAACTTAATGTATATGTTCTGGTGAGTATAATCATTCCCTGCAGGCTTTTTGCAGTAAACACTGCAGTTTCATATAAAAAAGGCAGTGTTTACATTAAAGCATAGGGACACCTTTAATGGCCTGGTACTTCCTGCCGTTCAGCATCTTGAAGCTGAACTTTCCTCATAGAGATGCACTGATTCCATGCATCTCTATGAGGAGATGCTGATTGGCCAGGCTGGAGTTTGGCCCCATTTCCCCTATTGGAAAGCACTGGATTGGCTGACATCAATTCTGATAATGTCAGCAAAAGAGGCGGATTTCAGGCAGAGCCAGCCCCAGTGAACCCATGCGGCGCGGGCAACAAGGTACTCTTTAATCCTTTCTAAAGGAGGTTGTTAAGTGGAGGGGGGGCACCTAAAAGGTGGCTTTTAACACTATAGGGTAAGGGACACATTATTGATATATTTTAACCGTTTGCCAGATGTAATAGTGGTAAAAAACATTTGTGACGTAAGATAAGTAGAATTTCCATTTCTAGCCCAATTTCAAATTACAGTGTCAGGCAGGAAATACAATGCCAGTAAACAAGTTGATAAAGTTAAGGTTGCAGACATCTCACCTTGAAACAGTTCTCATCTGACATCAGCTGCTCTGCTTTCCGCTGATAATTGGATTCTCCCAGGCTGCGGGATGCTTGGGTGGTGAAGGGACCTCCTGTAGCATTGCAGTTAGTCTCTGAGAGGTAAAGTTCAGTGACTTGCACACATATCTCATCACTCACTATGTGCTGGAGCTATAAACAAAAACAAGGAATTGTTATTTACTTCTACACTAAAATTATGAGCACTAGTACTTTATAAGGCAAAGTAATTTCTAAAATATGACTAGTACTATATACACTGCACATGGGATGAAGCAGGAGATTAAAGTGTGGTCTAGAAAGTGATATTGAATATTATAGTGACTTGCTAGTGAAAGCCTAGGTTACTTTTATAACCCACTGACGCCTGTTGATGTACAGCTAGATTTACTCAGCTATTTCAGATACTCACCTGCCTGACAATGCTTTGAATTAATTTGTCCATTGTAAAGGCAATGAAGGCATGGATAGTGAACATCTCCCGCAGGGAGTCTTCATATTGGTTGGAGTCCATATTCCCGTCCAGCAGGTTCCGAACCATGTCTAAGAATGCAGGGTAATAATCTTCAGCCTCAATATCCACTAAAAGGAGATAAATGGTAAACACATAAGCAAAAGTATTTCATCCATTCCCAAACACAAAAATGATTGAAGAAAGTCCCACATGCAGCAGTCTCAAAGATGACATATTTACCATTTGATTTCCCCTCTCCCCCTAATAAACCCTGGCCTTTAACCCTTTGATTGGATGAATGTGATGCACATTATGAAAGACTACTACAGACAAGGTCGTCTTCACTACATAGGTAAATAATATATCTAGAAATACAAAGCCAGTTTTCTAAGAAATTAAATTAGCAGACAAATTTGACTACAGGCATATTTACACACACACACACACATACATATATATATATATATATATATATATATATTATATTTTTATATATATATATATATATATATAAAATATAAATATATATATATATATATATATATATATAAAAAAATATAAATATATATATATATATATATATATATATATAAAAATATATAAATATATATATATATATATATATATATATATATATATATATATATATATATATATATATATATATATATATATATATATATATATATATATATATATATATATATATATATATATATATATATATACACACACACACATACACACACACACACAAAATGATACTTACTTGGTTCTTTTAACCGCAACTGGATGGCAGGGCTGTCATTCTTGTCCCTCTTTAGACCCAGCACCTCTCTCTCCCATTCCCTTTCCCTCAACTCTTCCTCTACCTGCCTCTCTGCTTGACTGTAGATGCGCAGGAGGCGGGAACAGAGAATCTGATGCAGGCGCAAAAAGATGTACCAGTTATTGTTCACGTAAAACAGATTGTATGTGTCCTCCATCCCCCGGTGCTTCTGTGCTGCAGTATTTCCAAACATCAGCTTGGCTTTTGGAGGGCTACTACCCCCAACACCACCACCCACCCCATTGTGTTTTTTTGTAACCCCATCTTCTGTCTCTGCATTCTCCTCGTCCTCTTCTTCCTCAAGGTCAGAAAGTTCTCCTCTCTGAGAGAAGAGCATGTCTGGGATGAAATGATAGATAATCTGTTTGATTTTGTACTTGTCCTCCTTTTGGATACCAGTCTGTCGCTTTACATGATGGATGATGAGAGAGGCAGCATCCTCCAAAATCTGTTTATCCTCATATGTCAGGGTCAGGTGGGGCCCTGTGCAGATTCCAGAGTTATCTTCAGATGCTTGCTCTTGGCGCTAACAAGAAAAAGGTGCATAAAAAAAAAAGGGCATTAAACATTGTGAGGACCAAGATTTTTAAAATAAGGTGACAGTCATCTTTATCATAATGGCTTAAAAACAACAACCACCACCTACTTGCCACCTCAGTTAAAGTTAATTACTTATGCAAACATATTTCCCAAATTAAGTCCCATTAAGCACTGCTGTAAAAGGGTTTATTTTATATATACACAAGTACAAGTACAAGTACCCACTGGAATTCAAAGAAATAAGAATGGCTGGAAATTTCAGCTACTTTCTGGTCTAGTGAACAGTTTCCATAGAACCTGCAAACGTGGGAACTTTTATTTTTGCACTAACTGGATTTATTTTTTTTTTTAAGGCACCAGGTGATTAAAATGGTTAAAACAAGCAGGCAGTAACAACCACCAGGAAAGTCAAGAAAGAATACCAAAGCTTAGAGAGAGGGAGTACACCATGATGTTCAAAGTTCTAAACTCGACGGTACAGGTTGCAAACCATCATTCCCTTACCTCATCATAAATGCTCTCGATTTCATTTAGCAGGCTCTTGGAACGAAGCACCTTTGTGTCAATCTGTTTGTAGTTTATTCCCTGGTGGTCTAGAGATTTCAGATAATACTTTTCGTTCTGCTCGCGCCATATTTTATTGAATCCACGCTGGGCTTCCCTCCACTCCTCTTCTTTCATTTTCAACCTTAATAAAAGAACGGGATAGAAAAAGGGTAGGAATTATTATTTTCATCTTTTTGCTGCATCTAATTTTAATGTGGAGCTTAAACAGAAAAATTACTACAAGTGTTAACAAGAAACGAAAAGGTCACTAAACATTCTGTCTGAACAAGCTTACAATACAGAGACAAAAACAACCTTAAAGGAACACTATAGCGTCAGGAGAAACACAAACATGTAAAAATGAGAGAGAGGACCAGGGGGCACTATAGTGTTCGGAATACAACTTTCTATTCCTAACACTATAGAATCCTTTTAAATCCAATGTGTAAGAACTTGTACAATTCTGTTTAAGTGTTTTGAATAAAAACCTTAGAACAGGTACTTAAAGTGACAAACCAATTAAAATGTGCAGGTCTTGAATTGGGCTACCTATCTGCATTCTAGCTCTAAATGTTCAGTGCATTGGGCAGTAGCCATTTCGGCTAGAATACCAACCTTTTCAGGACAATGGGGACGGCTACAGCTGGGTTCTTTTTCAGGCCATCAATGATGTCAGCAGCTTTGTCTGCATATATCCTTTGCAGTGCTTTCCGGTGAATGACCTCTGATGTTCCTCCTAGAGTGTTGTCTAGACGAAATTTGGCCTGATCCTCTGCGGATAACCGTGAAAGTTTCTTCTGAATACTTTCTAAAACACGTATGGTAGCCAGATTGGTTTCCAGTACGACATCCAACTAATAAAGGGAACAAAAAAAAGATTAAGTAATTCAGATTACACACAGTAAAGAAGATCAACCTGATTTATGCCTTCTACAGAAACATTGCATAAATATCATTATTATTATTACTGGCATTTATAAAACGTCATTTTCTGCAGTGCTGTACAATTGGTGAAGATAGACATTACTAGAAATAGATAAATTAAACAAAAAGGAGACATGATCTCCTCTTAAAAAAGTGAAAAATGTCCAATTCAAATTTGGTTTTTACTCCTAAAATATGCATTTTATATAAAACAACGAAATATTCCAGTGCCTTTGTTTCCTGTTAAGACACAAGTGCTTTAATATTGACTTCAGTCAATATTAGTAGGACCCCAAAATTAGTCACGTCTTTTGTGCCCATAATGCCGCTTTACTGTAAAAAATAGATTTACTGTAGAATTGTGAAATTATTGCTCATTTGATCAGGTCAAAAGCCCACATGGCGCATTACAAGATGACCAGTTTACGTTAAAGTCAGTTACACCCTCACCAGTTAAACCTTATGTCTTGATTCCAGTTTAAAATAAAAACAAAATACAAATCCCAATCTCACCTCAAACCGCTCATCCTCACATCGGTAAATGTGCTCCTCATATTGAGTCTTCTTCGAGCTTACAAATGTGGAGTCTTCTGACCATGAGGGGAAGGAGACCCAGGTGTCATTCAGAACCTGTATGGACAACATCGAAAATCAATGACAATATCACCACAGAAAAAAATAAAAAAATTTTACTGCCTCATTTACAGGACTGTATTCTACTTCAGAGGGGACATATCACAACATTTTCAAAGAAACAGTGAATGTAAAAGCCATGTAACCACTGACACCATCAACTGAAGACAGGCCCATGTTATCCATTATGGCAATCTAGGTCTAATTTTGGAACTTGTAATATCCTCCACATTAAGCAGATGAAATGTTGAAGTGCTCAAAAACAAAAAAAAATCCAAACTTTATCACTTGAGTGAAGGTGGCATGCACACAAGGGCCTGTTTTACTGATCAATAAGAATGGTGAATCCTTTTTTCAAGTGTATTTTTGAAGAAAATAATGTAGAACTAAAGAAAGGTTTAATCCTACCTCTTTGCAGAGTGGTGTTCTGCCGGTGCACTTGGGCTGCTGGAAGCTCTTGGGCAGTGCCCTGTAGCTGGAACCCAGCCTCTTGCATGAGGCATAATCTATCTCCATGGCAATGCCCTCTGTTGCCCGCTCCTTAGGGAAGGACTCCATGTGAGAGGATTCTTTGTAACCCAAGAAGTTTTTAAACCACGTGAACAGTTCAGGAAATTTCCTATGAAATGTTAATACAAATTATAAAAAAAATTGTAACGAAAAGAAAATGTGCAAGGTAGTAATGAAGACATAGGAAACCATGAAATCTTAAAGCATTCAAAATATGCTCAAAACCACATACAAAGCAAAAAATAAAAAAACACTCAAGACATGAGAACAAGACTAGGAAAATAAAGTATAATAAAGCTGAAGAAAATAAGCACAAAAACGTGCAAATCAGGAGCTATAACAATCTAACAGAGAGAATGATCAACTGGTAAAAAGAATAGCTAGAGAGTTAGACAGTGTCGATTTGCCCTAACTGGATCTTAAACAATCCTATGCATTTACCGTTTCTGCGTTAAATCAGGTTAAACATGTCAGGAGCATTAGAGACCAAGTGGTAACTAAAGCAGAGGTTTGGTTGTACAATTATTCAGCATCTAGTTGTGAAGATTTGTTCAAGACATGGTTTCAAGTTTTAAATATCTATAGTGAATATGTGCCAACTGTTGCTTTAAAAAAAAACAAAAAAAAACCACAAACCGTATTTAGTAGTGCAGTCATGTTTCATGATGCCACTACATACAAAAAAAACTTAATGTACAAAGCAATATATTAGACAACACAATGCATTCACGTCCAAACAAGTGTACTCACGCAAGGAAAGGAGATACCAACTGAACTAGCTCTGTCCGAGAGATAACTTCTTGGTTAAAGATAACCAGACATCGAAGGAAGTTATCATATGCCTCTGCACTCCGTAAAGCTTTCCGAACCTGTAATATTTAAGATGGTTAATATCTAAGATGATATATCTAAAATTGAAGCAAATGTTTCCGTTGCCAATGCTAGTTTCAGAAAGTGAAATATTTCAGGCAAACAAGAATCACAACAACCACTTAATGGATATGTCACAATACTATGAAATAGCTCACCTTATCGAAAAACTGCGATTCTGCCCCTGTGCCATGTTTGTTGGCATCCGCCATTGACTGATCTTTCGGCATGATTTTAGGCTTTTTCTGTGTGTAGAGAAAAAAAAAAAAAAAAACACAACTAAAACCTTAGAACTCAAATATTGACATATGTAATTAAACAGTGAATACATAGAAAGTGTTTGGGCAGTTTCTTATTCTTACGCTTCCTACAGTATTTCCTGTAACGTTTTGCAGAAATATATGCAATAAAGCAGAAGGAACTCATAACTCATCTGAAGAGGCTTATAATTGGAGCTTTATTGCATAACCTCCTCCCTACACCCCCCAAAGAAATGAAGGCCATATAACAAAAAAAATAAAAAATAAACCACATTCAAATTAAGGGAATTCATATGCATGCAGAATTTTACATAGACGAGCCAACAGGAGGAACAGAGTTTCACTACAAGATTGGATTAAATTGTTGTGGCTAAATCAGAGACCCAAACATACAACGACCTTTACATTCTTGGTAAATGGAGACAGACTGGTATTTACATTCTATTAATATATGTAAATGGATCTCTACAAACAAAAACAGAATGTGTCAAGTTTAAAAAGGAAAAGCAATAGAATTTAATGGAAGACTCGTTATATTATTACACTGTTTCTCCAACAAACCTTCACAGGTGGAGTTGCCCCAGGCCCAGAATGCCGGCGGATCTGACAGCCATTTTGGTTGGGTCGCTGCTGCTTATTGTTCAGTTGTGGTTTCTTCACAGTGCCACCATGGTCATTCCTCACGGACTCAACTTTTTCTGCTGTGGTTTTGCTCAAAAGCTACGTGGAAAGAATAAAACATATGATGTGAGTGCCCCACATTCCAAATAAACAAAAACACATTAACAGACTACTAAACTCACGTCCAAGCAACCAAAAAGATTTAAAAAAAAAAAAAAAAAAAAAAAAGTTCCTTCTTAATAGAAAAATGTACACTTTAAGGAATGAACATTTAAATTGTGGAAATGTAATACCCAATCGTTAAACAAAACCAAAGCAACCACAGTTCCGAATTAGGAATATTTAAAAGGAACCAATAACCAGAAATTGTGGGAATAGAATGATCTATCGCAAATTAATTCAGTGAACATTTCCAGGGTAACATTCAGCGAGAGTTCAGGGTGAATTTAAAGTAAATTTCAAATTTAAGGTAAATATAGCCAAACCGGAAGAATTCTCTAATTCAGCCATGTTTGCTCTACTGCGGCCTTTTATTTGAAATTCAACTTGAACTCTCACTTTAGTAAATAACCCAGTTCGTCACATTCACAATTCAAGTTTATCCATGTTCTCCTCTTTCATTTAACCACTAGAGGTCGTAACCACACTGTGTCACGCACCTTAGAGGGAGTTAATACAAAATACGGCCAACTCGATTTGGTGTTTAAAATGACAGTACAACTTTCTGCCTAGGATGTATAATTAAGTTAATTGTATCCACTGTTTTAGTGCCATTGGTAGGATTCTGTCATTGGCAGAAGCCATCTCCTCTATTAGTCAGTCAGACTACAACACACATGCATTTATCTTTCTGTAGGGTGGCAATTATTGGAGTAACTGCTGTGGTTTTGCTCAAAAGCCACGTGGAAAGAATAAAAGGTTAGAGAGAGAGTGCCCCACATTCCAATAAAATCCAGAAAATATTGCCATAATTTTAAACAATGCAATATAATCTTCCTTTAACAGTCAAAGATCTTTATCAAAGCTCACATTGTCAAATGTCAGAATGTCTTGCAGCTCCAGCAGGGATTTGTGGGTATGAAGTTTCTTAGAAAGCTGAGAGCCTACAAAGGAACACTGTGGACAACATAATTCAGGGAGACAGTCACAGAAGAGCTTCTTGCACTATAGCCTATGCATTATGTTGTAGTATCTGGAGGGTGTTAAATTTAAATAAATTTCAACTGAACTAAGAGTCGAGTCCCCAGAGCACTGTAGTAACTAAGCTATAAATATTTATTTTATAAACAGTGTCTTAAGAAATTTTGTGTAAGTAAAGGGAACAAGATATCCTACACACATCAATGGTATACAGTACTAGAAATAAAGACTGGGGAAACAGCCAAAGTTCACAAATCAAACCTCCATTATACATTTAATTAATAAAGAGCGCTAAAGAAAAGAAAACAAACAAAACGCTACACAATCGACACCAGTAAAAATAGAGGAGAGTATTTGTTGTTTTTAAGTGTAAGATTACCATGTTTACATGTTATTTGCACTGAAGTGGTTGACAAAAAAATTTAACGCTTATATGTTAGTATATAAAGTATTTCATTCTGCACAGTGCTCAAAGAAAAGAAAATAAATTAGATAGTGGCATCAGGAAGTTAAAAGGAAATTGTACATATTACAATGCTGACAACAGGCACAATACCTAAAGGCACCACATGTTTAAATAAAATGTGATCAGCATTTATAGAATGCCAACATTGTGTGCAGCATTTTACATCATTACAATGGGGTGTAAGCAGCAAAAAGAGACAAGAGACAGATTTTACCAGGTGATAAGAGCCCTACACATGTAAGCGGAGAGATCTAGAAACTTTTACTAAACTGTACTGAGTACACGTTGGTGAAAACTGCATCTTCAATACATTTTATAATTTGAGTCAAAAAAATAAATAAATAAATCTTCCACGATTTTGTTAGAAAGTAGAGCCTTACTACGGAGCTGTTGGCGTCAGGCAGGAACTGTCCAAATTCGGAGAGCAGATCCTCTTGATTCTTGAAAAGTCGGGCCACTTGGGCATAAACCTCTTGCTCTGTGAGGGCTGGGGTGTAATTTCCCCCCGCTTCTTTTGCATTCCGCTGCTCTTTCTGGAAAAAAAGGAGGTAAAATTTAGCAAAATATTTCAGATTAAAAAAACAAAAAAAAGGGGGGAGTGCTTTTAGTACCCAGTTCCCAATGTACCCAAAAATGTGCCAACATACATGGGGCATCAGCAAAGATACCAAAGCTGTGGAAACAGCTCTCAGTGTCAGCCAAAAAAAAATAAAAAATGAATACTTTGTTATAGTACAATAAACACATATGATGTTCAACAGAAGAAACAGACAGCACAAATGATATATTTTAAGCCTATTAACCAGCATGGCGCACATCTATGGGTTTATTCATTAAAAAACAAAAAAGTAGTGTACTGAAAAAAAAAATTAAAAGCACATTGTAAAATTCAAGCTAAATCAGCCAAGGTGCGACAATACTGCAGTGGGAGAATACTAAATCAGCTATTGTTGCAACTCTGCTCAGTGATTAATACCAGCAGTATGTTTACACACTTAGGTGAACAATTCCCTTTAAAGAGCATCTCATGCTCACAATTAAAGCTCGTCTGCATATAAAAGAGTGCCATTTTGCACCAAAGTACCCAAAAGCTCACCTGGTATGTGTGAAGAATCTCCAAGAAGGCTTTGTAGATGTCAGGCTGGCCCTGGAAGCGATTTTTAATTTTGTTTACATAGTTGATGGCATGGTTGAACTCAACAGGTTGGTTGTTCTGCATGGTGGGAGTTGCAGCAGCTGCTGTTGGGGTGGTATGTGGCAATGGAACAGGTGTGTGAGGCTGTGCTGGAGGAGAACGGGGAGATGGGTACTGGATAGGTGTACTCTGCTGGTTTGTTGGCGTGTGCGCCTGAGCAGGCACCGGCTGGGGGGCGGGGGGGAGAGAATAAAATTAAAATGTAAATTGCTTAAAATTATGGGGTGTCCATTATTTTTAAAACCAGAACTTTAGATCATGACAATCCTGTCTCATCTTGCTTGACTTACAGAAAATCACCTGCCGTCAAAAGACCAGAATGGGCAAAAATGAGAACTGTATCACCATACAAGATTCTCTCTCTCAAAGCACCAATCACCACAAATGCAGATTTTCTCCAACAATAAAATTAGTGCCACATATCTATACCTTCCGCCAATGTCTTTTCAGATAAAGGCAAGCTAGAGTCAAAGAGCACCTCTCCACCAAACTGTCCTATAAGTACCGTAGCTATATTTGTAATTTATTTAAGCAACATCTCAAATATTTTCCGATTTTTTTCGATTTATATTATTCTTTTAGAATAACCTGCTCTGCTCTATGATATTAAAGAGAAAATGTGTAAAGGTTCCCTTACTGCTCAGGATGAATCTCTTATACTCTATGTGCAACATCGTAGGTTTGCTATTTTTGGTACACATTGTTGTAGGGATAGACACATACTTTCTCTTAAGAAAGAAAACACCCATTTTGGTCCACAAAGATAACAGAATATGAATTCATGTCCACTTTCAAAGTACTATATGGACGTTGGAGAGATATAGATGTCACTAGATGTCTCACATTCCAAGACATCCACATTCTAACTCAAATAGAATATTCTGTGCCACTGACAATTATGCTTTTAGAAGAAATGAAGAGCAAGCGCATTAACATTTTCTCATACACACAGAACTTTAACTCGGATCCTGGGCCTACCTTGCTGATCTTTGCTGGAGCAGGTGGTGGTGTTGGATGTACAGGAGGAGGTGCAGGCTGGGTAGATGGCTGCGAAGGAGGTGGTGGTTGGGGAACCACAGGCTGCAGACCATGGGCTGTTATTTGGTGGACCTGGCCTGGAGTTGTAACGTTCACCATATCATTGGTTTGCACCTCAATCTTGTACCCAGGTGGAAGAAACGTGTTGAAACCCATGATTAGCTCTGGGTGACCTTTGAAGAGTTGAGACACCCGGCTGATGACCCCCGGAGTGTCAATACTGCAAAAAAGAGATTTAAAAAAAAAAAAAAAGTGTATATATTTATGTCACTTAATGCAAAGTTGATTCATAATGTTCCTACTAAACAAATGACAATGTATGTGAAAAATCAAATGTTATCTGGACTAGTGCTCTCCATTAAAATTAGAAAAAAATTATTTACTAAAAGATGAATCACAATTTTTCCCACTACACCTTCCCATTATTTTGCTCACATTTCCAGTCTCTGTTGCATATGTTAAGTTCCAGGGGTCTACCATAGTTTATGCTTAGTATTCAGACGGCCACTCACCTCTGAGATTTGAACTCCTTCATAATATCCAAGAAATCATTGTAGACCTGTGGCTGGCTACCAAACTGAAGTTTCACCTGATCCAGATATGATAGAGCATCCTCTACCTTAAATGAAAAAAAATAAAAAAAAATAAAAAATGGTTGAAACCGGGAAAGAAGAAAAAAGAAAAAAAAACAAAAAAAAAACAAAAAAAACTTGTTAGCTCACATTCTGCCTGTGCGTACATAAAATAGAATGTTTACAAATCCTAAACATTGTAGAAGTGAAATCATATATAAAATATATTCAAATACAATATTAAGATGCATTTAGGTAATTTCATCCAAAAATCAGACACTGTGGCAGTTACAACTCCACACATGATATACAATGCTTAGCATGTCGCTGCACTGTTAATTTAACTGTATTCCATGTAAACCAGGGCTGTCCAACCTGCGAGCCACCAGATATTGCTGAACTACAACTCCCATGATTCCCTGGCTATCTGTTTAATTGAAAGAATCATGGGAGTTGTAGTTCAGAAACATCTGGCGGGCCACAGGTTGGACAGGCCTGATGTAAACCATTATGACATTAATTGCAGACAATTTTACAGTCTAAAGAAGTGATAAATAGGAAAAAACTGGCGGAGGAATTTGTCACAAACATTAACACGATACATCATAGAGTTATCTTAAACATAAATATTAAATTCAAAAGTCTTACCTTTAGTCTCTGAAATTGCTGACCCTGTGCAGGTGCAGCTGGTGGGGTGGGATGTGGGTGACTCTGTACGCCAGGTCCTCCATGGCCTGGCACTGGTGAATTGTGGTGATGACCACTGTGCACTGCGGCAAGGGCTGCTGGCCCATGGCCACCAGAGCCCTGAGGCACTGCAGACACCTTTGGAGAGAAATAAAGTAGCCGTTTGAGAACTTAAAAGGATTATACAGATCCTGCAATAAGATTAGTGATTCCAAGATCGCAAACTTTTAGAATATGTTCCAAAATAAGCCAAAAACAGAGCAAATGTATTCTGAAAGGAGTGTGGCAAATGTAAATATGATATATAAAACTTTTTTCTTTTCACACATTACTAAGGCATGTTTAATAGACACCAAACTTCTAGTCTAATTAAATTTAACTTCAGAAATAGTTCCCTGTTTTTCCATCTGAATCAAGTTCGAAAGATTTAGATTTTTTACACCGATTTACTAAAGTGAAAACTCAAAGTGAACTTCAAATTAAGGACAAAATAGCTGAAATGGAAGAATTCCCCAAGACAGCTGTGCTTTTAGTTGGACTACTCTTGCCTTGAATGTAAAATTCACTTTGAATGATCACTTTGTTAAAGAACCCTGATGGTGTAGATTAGAATTTTTTTTTGTTGTTTTGTTTTTTTACACGTTCTGCAAGATTTTTTTCCTGCAATAAGACTAACTTCTACATATGTCTCCCTTAATATACAATGTTACATATGCCATTTAATGAACTCATGCTAATTTGATCAATATAAGCACAGTCCATTAAACCAGCACTGTCACAAGTTTTAATTTCTTGCTTTTAATAATATTATAATAAAATAATTTTATTAAAAAAAAGAGTATGGTCAGCATATAATTGAGACTAGGGACTACTTTGACTTATGTAAATGTGCTAAATGGTTAGAAAGGAGGAAGGGGGTTCCTTACCTGGTATCCTGGTGTTACAGAATACTGGATGCCTGTGGGCTGCATTGTATCAGATGGTGGATCATAAGCAGGAGGGGCAGGGGCGAGAACACGATGCTGGTGAGAATATGCGTCAGTAAGTCGGCGCGGCTGCGGTGGATAGTTTCCTGAATCTGGATCATCAAGTCTTCGCTTCATCCTGAGAACATAGTCAGGTGCAAATAATGGAGCTGTTAAAAGAGTAAGTTTGCAATGTTAGAAGCTGCCAAGCACTAGTAATGAAGAACCAACATTCTAACATTCAGTTAAATAAAAGTCAAATTAACTGTTTATGGTCTTAGCCAAGGAAAAAAAAAAATTAAAAAAAATTCAATGAACAGGGGACTTGGAAATCTGTACAACACTACTGATAGCAAAAATGTACACTTCTACACCAGCAATGATGCCTCCTCTTTTTTGAGGGGGAGGAAGAGGGGAGAGTAAGTATGAAGCGCTGATATATTTAAAGACCCTATATTCTTTTTTCCCCATAAGAACCCACACACTACCAAGCCAAGTTCCTGAAAATCTAACCCAGTTATTCACATATTTCACCCATATAACCACAAAGCAAGCAGAAAAAACAAAAAACCACGCCAAATAGCTTGCATAATTCTTTACATCAGCGATTAAGAAATTCGCATTTTCATCCAATAAATGTATTACAAAATATCAAGAAACATTACTTTCAGAGTGGTAGAGAGCACTTCTAAACGGAGCTTTGAATATTCACTGCACAATAATGCATTTACAAGTGTAATCACTTTAAATCAATGCTCTTGCTATAAATGGTCAAAAAAAAAAAATTTAAGATTAATAGTAACTTCTTGTGAAACTGTTACACTAACACCAATCTCGAGCTATTTTAGTATTACGGTTTATTTTCTGCTAAATACATGTTGCTGACATATGATCAGTTACCTTTAAAGGTCTGTAAATGTAAACTAATTTCACCTCACTCGCTAGGAGGTTAAGATGACCCAAGAACAAGCTTGCAAACTAAACACCAAAACAGTTTAGGATTTTTTTAAAAAATAAATAAATAACTTCTTAAGCTTTATGAGGCGTTGGGGGTAAAGAAAAGAAAGGAAAAAAAAAAAATGAAGAAAACCAACTAAATGAAAACCGACAAAATGGAGAAGACTATGCCCATTTTATTTTCCCAACTAGTTTAAAAAAAAAAAAAAAAAAATATGTTTCTGCATCAAAAATAAAAACCTATCTTCAGGTCACCTGACCAAGAAGGTTCAAAACTTACAACTCACTAAGAGATTAGTTCCAATTCAGTAACCATTGAATAAATAGGAGGATTTGTATTTTGGGATTACGACAAATATATAAATGGAAATTGTTGCTATTTTTGTGTTTAAAAGGGTTATAGTGATCCCATATTTAGCACTTTCCTAAGTCAGTGTTGTGTTCTTATACCCTTCTTATGTGGTATTAATTGTTCCCAATGCAGGAGGGCTCTGCCTGTGTTATTTCTGTAACAGGGCATGAATGAATGGCTAGGAAGGTATATTAATATAAAGCATTGCAAGATTTACGGAGTCCAAAACACATACCCAAGCATTACCTTATTGACAGCATCTGTTCAAATCACGGCAACAAAATAAAATATAAAGTCACACCAAAATAAATAAAAAAAAACATGCACAAAAAAAAAAACAAAAAAAACAAAAAAAAAAAAACACAGACCCACCAACAATCCACCACTGAAATTGCAGCACACATTGCTGGAGGTTTATAAAAACAGATAATTTAATTTCGTATTTAATCCAGCTCTTAATATATATTTATTGAACTTCCATAAAGATAGCCCCTTATCTAGAGAGAGTTTAACCATTTTTCCATAATGGCCAACACTAGCTACAAAACAAATATAGAAGCGCAGCTGGGATATACTTGTGTATATAGGATATATACCTCTACATACACCCTGATAAATCAAGCCAGCAACCTATGCAGAGAGAACAAGCAAGAGAACACATTTAGCTGAAATGTTTAGCAACACCGCTCATTAAATTTAACCGAAACAACCAAATAACACATACAAAGTTACTAAAAATAGGAAATCTTGTCAAAACACTATTATGGCAAACAAGTGCACAACTATACAGTCGAAAATCACCCAGCTTCATACAAAAAAAAAAAAAAAAAAAACACAACAACAACAAAGTGCTTGGAAAATACTGCAACTCCACTTGGCTACTTTGATCTGAATTTTGCAATATGGTTTTCAGTTTTGAAAACAAACTTTAGTAAATATAACAGTTGTTCTGTCAAGATGGTTACCTAATGTGTTTTATACAAGATACAGTATTTAGCAGGAACATTTGTTATTCATTAAATCATGGATTATTGTCGATTTACCAGGTAACTGCAAAGGTAAACTAAAATGGCTAAATTATAATAAATAAAAAAAAAAAAATGTTTTATACATCTCCAAGTCTACTATGGTTTAAATTTCCAGTTCAGCCATTTTGTCCCCAAATGAACAATTCCCTGGTGAATAATTCTAAATAGCAAGTGTTATACTGTAATTTTTAGCCAGAATACAGAACAAAGATGCAAAACTTTGTACTATTTACAGTCCAAACATTAAACACAAAAAAACACACTAACTTAAAAAACGGCGATGCTCAATACCAAACTTCAAGCCTCTGATAGAGCCATACTTTTTTTTTTTTCCCCCAGCAGTAAGTCAAATTTGGATGAATACCTACAGATTAATTCCACCCTTAAAATATTACATAAGTACTTTGTATAGTTCAGTATTCAGGAAGTAATGCAGAAGTGTAGCTTTAGAGTTTCTAGCAGTTTAAAAAGTTAATCATATGAAAATACCATGTACAGTTGTGCTGAAGGACACAAAGCAAAAATGTGTTCCTCAAATTGTGTTTTTATCACTTTGTTTAAAATGGCAACTGTAATAAATTGATGTGATACCACATTTGTAATTGAAAATAAATAAATTGCTTACCGATTCCATCTTGGCAAAACAATGTAAATGTATCCTTATCCAAAAATAGAAAATCCCTTAAAATCCAAATAACTAGAAATGACAAGTTCAGTAGGATCTGCAGACTGCAAATGGCACAAGATGAAAAAGCAGCAAGTTCACTGTGCACCACAATTATAAAACCAAGAGGACTATCAAGGCAGCCAATCAGTACTTTTCAACTGTGACCTAAAGATTTAAATTCCCCACCTACTAAATGCACCACAGGGACTCAAACTGAAAGGGAAAAAAAAAAAAATGAATTGGACTTTGAAAGGAATTCTGAATGTGCTAATTAGAGCAAACTGAATTAAAATGAAAACAATTGAATTTGCAAATTATAGGACAAGAATTTGCATTCAATCTGCAATGCTTCTAATCTGCAAAATCAGCTCGTGTCAGGATATTTGGAATTCATTGCAGAACATTTTGGATGATATCACAGGGATGTGAAGTCCTGTGTTACTAACAATGCCTACAGGGTACTACTTTCCACCGTAAAAGCTCATCCGTGACCACAGGAGATGGGAAAGGTAACAATACCCAATGGTAAATAAACAAACTGGTTTAAAATGTTGGTGCCAGAGAAATTAGAAGACCAACAAAGTATTAATGCTGTGATTAACAATCTATATGTGAATTTCTAGTCCCAAGGGCTAAGCTGCCATTCAGCAATAGCTAGTGGACATTTTGAGAATTTATAATATTACGTGTTCCTGCATATCTGCATGGCAAAGAGAGACACCCAGTTTGTGCCATCCCAACAATCTGACAAGCCCAAGAAGGCTTAAGTCATGTCCAACTGCTGCAACTCCACCCTCACTCCAATCATGGGCCACAATAACAAATAACAAGCAATGAGTGCATGTTGACCCATCATCAGTGCCCTAATCTTTAGTTCCCAAGAACTAAAAAAAAAAAAATCTAAAAAAAAAAAATTAAAATTAAAAAAAGTAGGACTTGAACTCAATTTTTTTTTTCTAAAACCACAAAAAAAAAAAAATGGTATCACACAAACCAACCAATTGTTGGAACCAACCCTCACAATTAGTTCTAGTGGTTATGGAGTTTCAAATTCTGCTTTAAAAGGTTACTACAACCACTTCAGTGATTTGTCTGGATGTGCAGCGTTTCAACTTGAAACACTGCAAGTGCAGAGTTATTGTTTAGTGTTGGGGGCTAGTTGCAACCCCAGCACACATGACTTGGGCAGCCCAAAACTGGCTACCTGTTTATTCTGTGCATATTCTACATCTGTCGTCAGAAAGCACTGCATGCTTCCGACAGATGTAAAAATCTTCCTCTTGCACACAGAGTTTGCAAGTGGAAGATGGCTACTCACTCCCTCCTACTTCAATTTTTTTCTTTAACTAGCAAATTCTACCCTCCCCAAGTCCTTCCCAACATGCATACTGAGCCAGTTTTTTTGCACAACTTGTAAAACTTGCAACTTTACAAAACTACTACAGAAGAGATTGAATGATTTTGTGGTTTATTGCTTCTACAGATCACACACTGTAAAAATTGATTTTATGGTTTAAAATACTATGGATATTAGAACATTTTAGCTTTTGAAAGTATATTACACTGATTAAGGTGTTGCAAAGAAAATAAAAAAAGGCAGTTGGGTGGGGACACTGGCAGTTTCCACACCTACCCCCAAGCAATGAGACCATTGAGGTTTTGTTTTGTTATGTTAATAAGAAGACTTGAAAGGATCCTAGTAATCAGCTGGTTAAAACACATTTTTTAAAGGGGGTGGGGGCAAGCAGTACACTCACAAGCCTGACTCATGTTAGGCAGACACAGAAAGTTCCCCTGCATGCACTTTTTACTTTGACTTCATAAGCCAGGAAAAAATAAAACCGGTAAGAGTGACTTTTGTCACAGTATATTAGCATGTCACTGGTCCATCAGGGCTAATATCTGTGATGTGCTGATACTTCAGCAAGTCCTTAAAGGACCACTCTAGGCACCCAGACAACTTCAGCTTAATGAAGTGGTCTGGGTGCCAGGTTCAGCTAGGGTTAACTCATTTTTTTATAAACATAGCAGTTTCAGAGAAACTGCTATGTTTATAAATGGGTTAAGCCTTCCTCCAAAGCCTCTAGCGGCTGTCTCATTGACAACCGCTAGAGGCACTTGCGTGCTTCTCACTGTGAAAAATCACAGTGAGAACACGCAAGCGTCCATAGGAAAGCATTGTAAATGCTTTCCTATGCGACCGGCTGAATGCGCGCAGCCCTTGCCGCGTGTGCGCATTCAGACGAATGGGAGTAGAGGAGGAGGATCGGAAGAGGAGAGCTCCCCGCCTAGCGCTGGAAAAAGGTAAGTTTTTACCCCTTTCCAGAGCCAGGCGGGAGGGGGTCCCTGAGGGTGGGGGCACTATAGTGGTCCTTTAAGAGGTTTATGGATAATGTCTTCAGTTATTTAAAAAAAATTAATGATCAGAAAAACACTATTTGTAGTTCCTGCATTTGCTGCAACTACCCAAGTTTTGCAGAAGGTTACTAGGAAGTAGCTGAAACCTGCAATTTAAAAGAAAGGTTCCAGGGGATGCTTAATTTAATATCAGGATAGCCATCATGCCCAAAACTACTTTAGCTCTTTTTAAAAGGACCACTGAATTTCATTTGTACAGTGTGCTAGCGAGCAAATTAATAGATTAGGAGGAAAACCGATTTAAATAGTATTTTCTCCCACCTATGAGTCCATTCTTCAGCATTGCTTCTATGCCAAGGAATTTATCGATAAATGACAGCAGAAGAGACCTCCCACAGGGAGTCCTTGTGCTCTCCACCATAAGTACCCACAGCACATGCACTGTGGTTGTTAGGGTGGCTTCCTCAGTGGCACGGCTAGCACTTGATGGGGAGTAGTGTGTCACTACATTTAAACACCGGCATGCTGGCCACAAAGGCATAGTGTTGTATCTTGGGGACCGTGGAGCATCCCTCCAAAAACCAGGGTGCTCTCTATGGCTAAATGCCAGCCCTTTAAATTGGGTTTTGTCAATACACAACTTTCAACACACAATTTAGTGAGAGCAATTTATTGAGCAATTTAGAACTTCCGTCTGACAGCAAGTGGGGTATCCCAATTCCCCTTGCCTATTGTTGTGGTCTAAAGCAGGATTGCCAATGATAAAGTTCTCTTCCGCATGAGTATAGACTCAGCAAAGTAACCTGGCATCAATACACATGAAAATAGTTGACACTAATCTGGATGACAGACCCTAAAGAGACACTACACTTTAACCACTACAATGAGTGGTTGTGATTATAGTATTAGTAGGCTGTTGCCACAGTCCCATTTCTGGATCAAACTGAAGCGTTGCCAAGGGACCCACAGTCTGGCCCTCATTTGCTGGACTGCTAATAAGGAATTCCACTTCATTCATATTTGGACGCCATGTTCTCATTTATTGTGTTCTGAAAGTGGAGCAGTCACCATGGAAACCACTGGACATTTGAACATTCCATTGATTTCCAAGGCAATAACTAATCCACTCTTCCATAACAGCACTGTTTGTCCACAGTATTGACAGTGGGTATCTAGATGTTGCAACAGCATTTATAGTATGCTCTAAAACCATTTCAGCATCTTTACACTTTAACAGGCATACTCCAAGCACCAGAACCACTAAAGCCTAATGTAGCGGTTTTGGTGCAAAGAGACTTTTTTTACTTTTGCACCAAAGCTAGTGGCTGTCAGACAGATTTATGGTCTAATCATTGCAGGACCAGCGATTGGCATTTTCAAGCTCTGCATGAAGATTACAAACACACCCTAGAGATGTATTGGTATAAAGCTTTTCCATGATGAGATGCTGATTGGCACCCCAAGGCAATTTCTGCGCATAAGGTCTCACAATGTTTCTCTATTGAAGAAGCACTGGATTTGGAGATCAGCAGTTTCCCAAATTATTTTTTACAAAAAAAATTAATCATGATTTTACACTGTATGCATGCACACTTTTGAAAACTTTACGTTGCAATATATTTATACAGTTCCTCTAATATTTTAGCAAAGGATAAGAAGAAACAATTGAAACTCAAACTTGAACCCCATTAAATGTTACATTATGAAGGGGAAAAATAAAAAAAAGAGTATTATATTATACATGTGATATGGTCAGTAGAGAGGTTATTGAGGGCAGTGTGTCTGAAGGGCTTCAAATGTAGCCTGACAGCAGCAGGGCATTTAATGGGCTGAACAGAGTGAGGAGCTAATCACAGTGGGAGAGTCCTGGCATTGAGCTGAGGGGGTGGGATGTGAGACGGAAGGGGCAGCTTACACCATTTATAATGCGGGGTTAACATCATAGTCATTACAGTTTGGAAACGTCCGATTTTAGTTATATGAATATGGGTGTTGCTGTACAGGGAGTGCAGTGAGGCTTAACTCCAAGAGTGCCATAGTTAGCACACAAAAAAAAAAAAAAAAGAGGGAAGAGTGGTCATTTCCCTTAACGTACTCCATAACTTCTTTCCCAAAGTAAATATATTAAGGATTCACTGCAAAGTACTATATAAGGAGCAAATACTGTGCAAGCCAATAGTTATTCTTACCACTTCACAAATTGCTCCAGAATGATACCCATCTTGTCATGAGAAATGTCACTATGTGCCAAATGCTGATAAAGGCTTGAATTTAGATATAGCACTTGTGGCTTATGCACCCGCATCATGCCACTACACACTGACATACAATGCCCTTCCTTCTAAGGGCCACTGTACCTCAATATTTCTTTTCAAGGTGCCCCAGCACCCCCATGCCCAACTGGTGGTCCATCTGCATACTGCCTCTCCAGGCCCACCGTGTCCCCTGCCCCACCATGCCCACCCTGTGGTCCCTGCACAGTAGCATAAAATACTCATCTACGCCTTAATTTCACACTGCCCACCATCCCACCTGTGACCTCAGCATCTCCACCATAACCACCGCACTCTGCCCACCATGCGACCCTTAAACCTTCATACTGCCTCACTATACCACCTGTAGCCTCAGCTATAACCACCGCACACTGCATCCCTTGTACTCCCACACTACCCCATGCCCATCAGCCTGCTCACTGGCCCACAATGCCCACCGGTGCCCCCACCATGTGCCTTATCAGCCAGCTGTGTCCAATCTATGCCCACCCGGTCAGCCTTATGCCCCCTCCATACCCTCTCACGGTGGCCAGTCAGCTCGCTCAGTGCCGCACCATGCCCACCCTGTGTCCCCTGCTCCTCCACCATGTCTCTCCAGCTGTGCTGTAACTGCCCTCAGCTCTGCCCCATATACCCCCGTGCCAAGCCCCGGTGTGGGCTTCTCTCCATCCCCCAGCCCGTTACCAGCATCCCTCCAGAGCACACAGCGCCCCCAGCCCGGTATCCCCCCATAGCACATAGCGCCCCCAGCCCGGTACCGGTATCCGTCCAGAGCACACAGCGCCCCCCCCCAGCCTGGTACCGGCATGCCCCCGCCCCCAGCCTGGTACCGCATGCCCCATAGCACATAGCGCCCCCAGCCTGGTACCGGCATGCCCCCATAGCACATAGCGCCCCCAGCCTGGTACCGGCATCCCCCATAGCACATAGCGCCCCAGCCTGGTACCGGCATCCCCATAGCACATAGCGCCCCCACCAGAGCACACAGCGCCCCCGGTACCGGCATCCCCCATAGCACAGCACCCAGCCGTTACCGGCATCCCCATAGCACACAGCACCCCCAGCCCGTTACCGGCATGCCCCCATGGCGGCCGCCCCTCCCCCGCTAACTAGCCATGCGGCCGGGTATCCCACTGCCTTACCCCGGGAAGGAGCATTCACGGCCAGCTCCGGTCACCGCCAGTCCGCTCCTCTGTCACCGGGGAAATCCCGCCTCCAACACCCCGCGTCGGGCGCCACCGTACGCGACATCCCATTGGCCGCAGAACGTCGCCTATCAAGGCCGGCAGCCAATGGGCTTCGAGGTAAAGCGTCCTGGGGGCGTAGCAACGAAAGGAATAGAACCCTGCAGGCCACGCCCCCTCTGCCCGGAGCTCTCGCAAGGCAGGCGCGAGCGGAAAATGGCCGTCAATGGAATGAAAGGGAGAAAGCCCCGCACACTGTAGCGAGAGAGAGGGAGGGGGGAAAAACAATTGGCACCGCCCCCTTTACATCCGATTGGCTGGCATCAGGGAAGTAGGCTGATCCCAAACCACGCCTCCCCAAGGGTAGCTCCTCCTACTGGTGTCATGTTTACATACTGAGAGGGAGAAGACTGGGGCTGAGCATAGCCGGGGACAGGGGAGGAAGGGCAACAGGAACACACAGACATTACATGAGGGGGATTACCAACAACCGGTTATAAGGGGCTTCACAGACTGGCAGAGCAGGGACAACATGGCCAGGGTGATCTAGGGACACAGGAGGTGGCACATGGCCACTTACAGAGCAAATATACCCAGGAAGGGATACTGTATACTGTACCCAGTAACCCATTACATTATTAGCATTTCACAGGCTGAAATAATTCAATAGATAAACATTGCCTCAGCTCTTCTACGCAGCCAGGGTTATTCAATAAACTCTGAATGGCAGCACATTTATTTTTGAAACTAGAATAAAAAAATAAAAAAAAAAATAAGTGACCAAAAACAGTGGGTTTTGGGAAGTTTATTAAACCCCTTAAGGACCAAACTTCTGGAATAAAAGGGAATAATGACATGTCACACATGTCATGTATCCTTAAGGGGTTAACGCCGATATTTTTGCCTAAATGACGCCATTCAGATACTCACTTGCTACAATCAGGAGTAAAAGTACAGCACGTCAAAGTGAATTTTATATCTTCGCCCCAAAACATAAAATAATAATGGCCCATCATTTGACGTTTACTTTCAGGGTTATTCACTAAGGTATTGGAACTTTATGGCGAATTTTAGGTCCAAATAGCGGATATAAAAGTTCCCCATATATTTTAGTTCAGCTACTTTGTTGAATTCTGGCAGTTCACTCTAAAATAACCCTGTTAAGTTTGTATGCTTGAAGCTAAATTATGGATTAAATAACTAAGCTGTGACTATAGAGAGGATGGAGAACTTCTCCAAAGCAGCCAGTTGCCTTTATTTTACAATTCGGATTTCGATTCACTAGAATTCGTTTAATGAGTTAATCAATAACTGTATATTTTATTCAACAGCGCACACGCACTGAAGGTTACCCAACAAAATCGTCACTGGGAGCCCTCATTATAAGGATAGAGAAACATGCATTGCTTTAGAGTAAAAAATGCATAAGTACTGCAGCATTTTGACATTCATCTTGGCCATCCACATGGATTTTATGAATAACAGTTCCTTTAACACACTACCTTGTAATAACAAAATTTCTCCTCACCCTTCTCTTGATCTAGATCTGCTGATGGTCTCTTCTTATATGTCTATATCCTGATTGAGCATATAAGTATCTTGGTAGTGGAATCCATTCATGAGAAATGGCATTTGTAATGCAATTTGTCATTAGAAAATTACACCACTTAACATTCCATTCCCCCCCCCACCCCAAATATCCAAAAGCGTTAGTATGTTTAACCACATTCCCAGATTAGTGTAATAAATTTGGCTTTTGGCGTGTAGATTGTAAATGCGACAATGGCACAATTTTATTACTAGGATTTAAATTGCACCATCACAGGATTTATTTAATTAAATCACACATTTGGTGTAAACTGAGCGAAACAAAGTGTGACCATGTAATATTTGCATAGCTTCACTTTTTCCAACATATGGATCAGATCTGTAGATCTTTGACAACTCCATGATAATCATTTGAATTTCAGTAGCAATTACATGCTAATACTAGAAGTCCTAAAACAGGCTGGTAACTAAATAATACACATTTACTTTAATGTTTTCTCGCCAACATAAACATTACAATAAATTTAATGCAAAATACAAGTGTTATATAAAACGTGATTAAGTGACAATAAAATGCCAACATTAGACCTAACTTTAAGACCAAATGCAAAGGCCCACATCTGTCTCTTTCATCTACCATCACAATGGTGTGGAAGTGGAAGAAAATTTTATTTTTAGTATGTCTGAAGATAATTGCAGGCTATTGAGGTCAACTTAAGGAAGTAAAGTTAACCTGGCATTAAGATTTTGGCATTTCACAAATCCAGAGATGTGACAGGTTCAAGAAAGCCTGAAATGTGTGAAATAAAGATAAAGGAGAGAACATACTTACTGGAATCCCATTCTGGAATGTAACCTCAGGTGCTATTTTCTGATCGGACAATATCTAGCACATTTGCATCAGTGTGTATTACCCTAGTACGAGATATGGAAATCATTTGCATCAAAAACAGAAGCTATTTTAACGTACTTAACAGGCCATTTTCCAAAACAACATTTCTTAACATTTTGTGCTGTACTTTAGAACGTTAATTAGCGGATCCTCAAGTTTAGGGCGCAAGGACAGCCAAAAGTTAGATGCCCAGATGTTGTGGAACTACAACCCCTTGATACTTTGCCAGACTAAACCAACGGTTCTTACTGTCTTTTATATGATCTAATGATATGTAAAGTTTGTGGATTACATTCCAAGCCATTTTCTCTTGGTCCACAACAGCTTATACATCAATGTAAAACACAATATATTGTAAAAGTAAGTAGTTAATCCGTTTCCAGGCCTTATTCACTAAGCAGCATATAGTGGCCAATTTGAAGCTGAACTGCAAAATTTAGCCCAAAATTGCCAAACTGTCTGCACTCTGCTGACATTTTGACATCCAATAAACAATTATCAAGTTAAAATAGCCAATCTGGCAGCTAATCCAGTAATTACGGAGATTTAACAACTGAAATTGTAAATCCAACATACCAAACCAGAGAAATTTTTTCCCAACTCACTGAGATTCATTTACTAAACGCTGAATCGTAGTGAAAAAATAAATTTGAAACATTAAAATTTAGGCAAAACAATTCATGTAGAGAAATTCTCCAAAATACAGATGCTTGGCTATTTTAACCTTAACTTTGGCATTTGCCATTTAATTCACCACAATTCTGTGTTTAGAGAATAAACTAATTTTTATTATTATTTTGTTTTTAATCCTACACATGTCACTTCTACAGTAGTCCCAGTTCATTCCACATGTCACTCAATATGTGTCATATCCAGAAATAGTACATTTGTAGCCATAGCAGAGCCCTGCGCACACAGGCACTCTGCCCTCAATGCCACTACTGAAGGACTAGCGTTGCCTCTTTGTTCCTAGCCTAGCCCCAGTCTTCGCAAGCCCCGCCCCTATTGAATTCCCTAGCACGCCATTGGACTGCACTTCCGGGTATTTAAAAGGGTGGACTCTACACATGCGCGCAGCCAATCAAATCGCTCCGTTAACATGCACTTCCGCTTCCGAATGGAAAAAAAGACCGCCTGTCACAGAAACCACGCCCCTCGCTGCATAAACACGCCCAACACGGAAGGGAAACCAGGGGGTGTAGAACAAGATGCCAGCAAGAGGGGGAGGTTCTACACGTTGAACCAATCAATGCAATGATTGGGCGTGGTTATAACGGGACCAATAGCGCCGCAAGGGGGCGGGGCTTGAGGGGAGTGAAGTCAAAGCACGTAGGCGGTGGTATTCAGTACTCTAAGTACGCCATGAGTGTAGCGTCGTTGTATAGTAGCAGATCAGTGTTACGCCAAGAGCGCTGGGGGGGGGGATTGCTTGTAAACAGCTGCTGCACAAGGCGAGGGAGAGAGAGGGCCTGTGCAGCCATATGATTCCCCAGCGCGGCACTCACTGCTGTTTGTAGGGTTAAACCAATGGCGCCTTCAATACAAACCATCAATGAGCTGGGTGACTGGATTAACTCGTTTTTAGCCGGACTGTGTGATTTAATTGGGGATTACCAGCTTCACAGCTAAACATGGGCTGGAGGGAGGGAAGGCTCTGTAAAACCTGCTATAGGGAGCTATTAAAACCATTATCAGAGGGCCAGGGGAGGGACACCTCTGAATAAAACACCAGGTGGCTGGCTGAGCATTGTGGGAGATGTAGTCAGATAAACATGGGCCTCTGTAAAACCTGCTATAGGGAGCTATTAAAACCATTATCAGAGGGCCAGGGGAGGGACACCTGAATAAAACACCAGATGGCTGGATGAGCATTGTGGGAGATGTAGTCAGATAAACATGGGCCTCTGTAAAACCTGCTATAGGGAGCTATTAAAACCATTATCAGAGGGCCAGGGGAGGGACACCTGAATAAAACACCAGATGGCTGGATGAGCATTGTGGGAGATGTAGTCAGATAAACATGGGCTGGAGGGTGGTAAGGCACTGTAAAACCTGCTATAGGGAGCTATTAAAACCATTATCAGAGGGCCAGGGGAGGGACACCTGAATAAAACACCAGATGGCTGGATGAGCATTGTGGGAGATGTAGTCAGATAAACATGGGCTGGAGGGTGGGAAGGCACTGTAAAACCTGCTATAGGGAGCTATTAAAACCATTATCAGGGGGCCTGGGGAGGGACACCTCTGAATAAAACACCAGATGGCTGGCTGAGCATTGTGGGAGATGTAGTGCAGTACAAACTGGAACATCCCCCCCCCCCACCCCCCCAGGACAAGGCTGCCTTGGATTAGGGATCCACCATGTTTTCCTGGGCACATCTCTCTGCCCTGTCCCTGTGGCATTCATACCCTGCAGGAGGGGATTCAATGGACTGGAGAGAGAGCAGTCTCTATGGAGCCCAGCTGGCTAGCAGCATGTTAATTCTTTATACTGCAGGGAAGCACATCATGCTGAGGGTCCTGTATTAGCTGTAAGTGTGCACTGCACTATACAGGATATTCATGGTTTGGATGGACCCCCCCTTCCCCCTCATAGAAAAGGCTTTCTGTAGTCCCATGTCTGCCCCTTTTCCCCCCAGCAACCATGCACACAAAAACACCCAGCCAGGAAGACCCATCCAGCCAGTGTACTGGTCCCAGGGGCTGCTGGGGAAAGGTGACTTGCCATGGTGGCTAGTAAATCCTCTCCCCTCACCCCTGCTCATAGCATCCTCATTGGACTTGTATGGATCATTTCACTTCCAGCAAGGAATAACTAGCATTAAAGGATTAACCGGAGACATGCCCTGTATTGAGGATTGAAGCACCCCATCGCTGGCACTTTATTCCCATCGTTAGAGGTCCATTCTGTCTATCCACATGGCACATAATGGCACAGTGCACACAGCATCTCCTGTAAGGGGGAGGGGACTATAACTCCCATCACCCTCTCCCAGACATAGGGAGTCCTAGTAGTCCAAACATGGACGGGGGGGGGGGGGGTTACTTCGACATCCCTGTCCTAAAAGGGTCGATGGGGAGGCTGCATACAAAAAGTTTAACCCGTTCATTGCCAGTGCTGTGTAAAGCCAGACAATCAGTTCCTGGCCCCAGACATTTCACCTATTAAAGGGCCACCAAGAACGATCCACATCCTTGATGGTTTTTCATACAGACACGGAAGAAAAATAAGACTCCTGCATGTGGCAATGGGCATGGATCTCCTATATAGTTACATTGCCAAGAGCTCTACTCCTGGGGCATTTTACCTTCCCACCCCCTCCCCAGGGCTTCTCTGGGAGAGAAAGTGAAATCTATATTTATTGAGGGGGGTCAATGTAGAGCCGTCCACATCCTCTCTTTTCAGCATGTAAAGCCAATGCCCGCCCCCTCTTCCTAAGAAGAAATAAAATATCCAGATAGAATGCTCTGCATTTGCCCCTCTTTGCAAAACGAATGCAGGATCGACCCCCTAAAGAACAAATATCTGCATTATTTCAAATAAACAAAACCCACATACCTTCCAAAAATAAATATACGTCCACACCAAGTCAGGGACTCCCGGATAAATACACTCCCACTATATTTTTTTTTTTTCCTCCAGACTCCTAATTTAGGACCTGCCCCTATTGAAGGAGGAGAATGGGTGTGCAAGGGAAGGAGGGGGTATGTTTAAATCTTGATCACACCTTCCTACCATATACAGACAGAAGTGTGAGGCTCACCATGCCCCCTCCTTTGCTACTGACATCATCCTTGGTTGGGGAGGGGGTATATGAATGCTGCATACTCCCACTAAAATAATCAGGGCTGATCTGTGCTTGCAATAGGTGCTGTGTATTGTTTGCAGCTCAATCTATGATCTAAAAGTAACACATGAAAAATGTAGATACAGTTCATGGTAACCGACTGTCTAGCAAATAAAGGTCTCCTATAGTGTAAGCATCAGACAGACAGGAAACTTAAAGGATGTCGAAAAAAAAAATGTAGCAAAGCATCATGGGATATGTAGTCAACAACAGTTGGAAGTGTTAGAGCTTAGCTGACAGTGATGTAATGCTTTGGAAAAATGCACAAACCCAATGGTTTTCTTAATGCATTGCATAATCCAGTTCTATAGAATCCTTTAAAACTACAAATACTATGTAGCAATGCCATTTAAACTTACAGCACCAGTTCTGGGCTCTACGTCCCATAATGCATTGCAAAGAAAAAAAATCAAGGAAGAAGATTAAACATATATTTACTAAACACATGGTCACCCAATTCGCTCCGTTACATGGACAACTATGCAGATGGCCACAGGACCACATAGCCCCAAGCCTTGCATATATTGATCATCATCACCCAGAAGTACATAGCTCATCATGTATTGCAGTTACATTTCACAGAGAACTACAGAGCCCATAATGCACTGGGTAAGCATACAAGCACCCTAGCCTATAGAGATCATTCAGTAGATTTTAGCAGGGATCTAGTTAGAATGTTGCAAAATTAAGAGATACAAAAATGCCCACTGCAAGGTCACCCCTTTATTTTGACACCTATTTGCCAATGGCACTGCAGACCTCCCTGGGTTAGGATCCTTAGCCCTAGCTCAGGGTAGGAGAGTCTGACTGCACAGTCCCTGCTACCAGACGCTTGTATTAAAGCTCCTCCTCTATGGCAGTATTAGCATTGAATCCTCCTTCCTTCATCAAAACTTTCACACCAACGCAATGATTCCTGCTACAGAGTCTGGTAACATTGTATCTTTAGGAGATGACAGCAAACGGGTCGAATCAGACAAGGACTAGAGGCAATACAATTCTTGTAGTGTCAGGTGGTTTAGCAAATTATGCACTATCCATCCCCTGGTAGTTATTTATTTATTTATTTATAAAATATTTTACCAGGAAAGATACAGTGAGATTTCTCTCGTTTTCAAGTATGTCCTGGGTCCACAAATCATTGCATTGTTACATTAGGTACAACAAAATACAAAAACAATATTAATACACAATATATACAAAATTTAACATAGAACAGGCAGGAAATATATAATCAACCATGACACATGCATTATGTTTTGAGGTATGTAGAGAGGGATCTCTTAAATGACTTTAGGGAAGATTTTAAATTGTGCGGGAGGTCATTCCACAATTGCGCCGCTCTGTAGGAGAAGGAGGATCGGGCCGCTTTCTTTTTGTATTGAGGTAGACTAAGTAAAGTGCTTGTACTGGATCGGAGCTTTGTAATGGTGGTTTCAGTTTTGGGAGAAAATCAAGGGGTATTTTTTTCCTGATCAAATTCTAATATATTGGATTAATTAATCTGGGAATTGTGGGCCCTCTTTATTTCCATTCATTTGTCATTTTTTGTTGTTGCTATTCTGAATCCCTTTTGGACAACTGTAAAGTGCTGCAGAATGAATGTGTGCTATATAAATTATACCCTTAATAAAACCACTATATCAGCTAATTAACTAAATAATTAATTGTCCAGGGACTTGCAACTTTCAGGCCAAAGTAGCCTAATTTGAAAAAAAAAAAAAGTCTCAAACTTAGTCACTTTGGCCTAATGTTTTCAACCTTTGACTCTCAATGTAGAAATAATTTTCAGAAATAAATAGCCAGAAGTCATTTTGCTCTGTCATTTATGTTTAAGGGGACACTATAGTGACCAAGACAAGTTTAGCTTAATGAAGCAGTTTTAGTGTATGGATCATGTCCCTGCAGTCTCACTGCTCAATTTTCTGCCATATAGTAGTTAAATCACTTTGTTTATGCAGCCCTACTTCCTGTAAAAGTCATCTAATGTTTACACTTCCTTTTATTAAAAATTCTGTTTAAATTAGTATTTCGTATCTCCTGCGTCAGTCACAGCCACGGCTTCATAAACTGAAAGAAAAGTGATTTAACTCCTTAATGACAGAGAATTGAGCAGTGAGACTACAGAGGCATGATCTGTACACCAAAACTACTTAATTAACCTTAACTTGCTTTGGTGACCATAGTGTCCCTTTAATATTGTTGATCCGAGTAGCAGGCTTTGAATTTCTTGTATCCCACAATAAAACGCAACCATCCACACTACAAGACAAGAAGATGGTCTCCCTGCCAAGACAAGCTGCTACACGTGTAACCTGGTCAGCATGTGCTTTCTATGACTTTAGAAGTGCTTTCTGAAATCTTTGCTTCCACTTACTGCCTGTGTCCCATTAGTGAAAATGCTTAAAGACGTTACAATGTCAACATGCTCACATTTGGTGTGTATTCACTAAAAATGACTCATTCTCCAGAATTTCCCCAAATTCCAAAGCACCTAAATCTGATGCCAGCAACAGGTGCACCAAGAGAATCTTTGAACACCCATATGAACTTCCCCGGGCCACTTAGATTCGATGCAGCTAGAAGCGATGCCCCAAATTGTTGGTAGCGTCATGCCTCTAGCTGTATATTCTTGCAGGGCAGGGGCCAGAGCGGAGTGCCGCACGACTTCTCTTTACTCATAGCTACACCACACGCTGACCCAACCATTTTTCATGAAATAATTTTATTCATTCGCCTATAAAACCCTTTAAATAAAGTATAAACGTACCTTTTGTCCAGTGCCTAGTTAGTTAGCACAATTTTGTCAAAGTCACAGCTTCCCTTGCGAGTTTTAGTCAAATGCTTCTCATAGAAAAGTGTTTAGATAAGCATTTGCTTGGGTCATTGTCTGACTGGCTTTGTGCGCATGGGTGTACTCTAAGCTGGTAATGGGATGGAGGTAGTCGAGGGGTGGAGAGTGGAGGAGCAAGGGGAAAAAAATGAGCATTAAATATTTCAACGAGGTGGGGATGGCACATTCAAGCTTTCCCTTGCAGATGCTGCCTGCAAGATTAGAAGTTTATAATATTTCATCAGCCAGGGCCGTCTTTAACGCGGGGCAAACGGGGCAGCTGCCCCGGGTCCAGTTGCTCCTGGGGGCCCAGAGCAGCTGCTCTGTGGGCCCCGTGATTTGCGCAGCCCCTGCGGTGCGGCTCCCGCACACTGAGGAGGCTCCCCAGGTGGCCCATGCACTAAGGGCCACCCGGGGAGCATGTGTCAGCAGGGGCCCGGTCGGGCGCTGTAACAGCGCGACCGGGGCCCTCTTCCGGGACGTCACTTCCTCCCACCGGAGATAGCTGCGCGGGAGGAGGAAGGCAGGGAGGAGGGGAGTTCCAGAGGAGAACTCCCATCTGCCTCAGCCTGCCACTGGACCAGGGAAACCACCCTCCAGGAAAAGGTAAGAACCTGGAGGGTGGCTAAATGTATGTCAGTAGGTCTGTCTGTGTGTGTGTCAGTATGTCTGTGTGTATGCCAGTATGTCTGTGTGTGTGTGTGTGTGTCAGTATGTCTGTGTGTATGCCAGTATGTCTCTGTGTGTGTGTCAGTATTTCTGCGTGTGTGTGTCAGTATGTCTGTGTGTATGCCAGTATGTCTGTGTGCGTATGCCAGTATGTCTGTGTGTGTGTGTCAGTATGTCTGTGTGTATGCCAGTATGTCTGTGTGTGTGTGTCAGTATGTCTGTGTGTATGCCAGTATGTCTGTGTATGTGTGTGTCAGTATGTCTGTGTGTATGCCAGTATGTCTGTGTGTGTCAGTATGTCTGTGTGTGTGTATGTAGGTATGTCTCTGTGTGTGTGTGTACGTGTGTGTCAGTATGTCTGCCAGGATATATTTGTGTGTCAGTGTATGTGTGTGTCAGTATGTATCTGTGAATGTTTTAATGTCTGTCTGTGTGTATGTGCCAGTACGTCTGTGTATGTGTGTCAGCATGTCTTTGTGTGTCAGTATGTCTGTGTGTGTATGTAAGTATGTCTGTGTGTGTATGTGTGTGTCAGTCAGTATGTCTGTCAGTGTATGTATGTCTGTGTGTGTGTGTGTGTCAGTATGTCTGCCAGGATATATTTGTATGTCAGTGTATGTGTGTGTCAGTATATATCTGTGAATGTTTTAATGTCTGTCTGTATCAGCCATTACGTCTGTCTGTATCAGCCATTACGTCTGTCTGTGTATATGTCAGTATGCCTGTGTGTGTGTGTGTGTGTGTGTGTATATGTCAGTATGCCTGTGTGTGTGTGTCAATGTGTCTGTCAGTGTATGTGTCTGTGTGTTTTAGTATATCTGTTAATGTATGTTTCTGTGTATGTATGTATGTCTGTGTGTGTGTCAGTATGTCTGCCAGTATATATTTGTGTGTAGTGACTTTGTGTGTCAGTATGTATCTGTGAATGTTTTAATGTCTGTCTGTGTGTGTATGTGCCAGTACGTCTGTCAGTGTGATTGTGGGTTGGACGTAATTGGGGGGTGAGGCAGTGGCAGGGACAGGGCCCATGGGGCCCAAGAAAATGCATTGCCCAGGGTCCTAATCATATTATAGACGGCCCTGTCACCAGCACACAGTGTGTGCTGACGACAGACATACATTTTCACAGAATTAACATTAGAAAGTCCGGAGCATAGTTCAAGCTGCTTCAGTCACATGCCAGGGTTGTAACTAGCCTCCGGCACAAAAGTGTACAAATATCTCTGAATGTGCAGCATATAATACATTTTCCCCCAGACTATCCCTAAACAGTTTATGTCCCTGGAAAGCTCTCATCATGAGGTGCAACCTGTTCAAATAGTGCCCTGATTGGAGATGTCTAGCCTTAGTGATCTTTAGGGGAAGCTTGATCGGGCAACAATTATTCTCCGATTCGGCACTGAGTTCAAGTCTGTTGAATGGAAAGTCCCTGTCATAGATGTTGGCTTCTTGTTGCTTCGAGACAGGGAGTTTCATTGAGCCCTTGGTTTCCTTGGATACCTAGTCACCTCACCAATTTCCCTTCTAAATAGCACCCTATTTGATGGTCCTGGAGTCACTCGCGATCCAATACACAGTTTGATGTGGATTCTGGGTAGCTCCTGGTCGGGCACGCTGTACCTAAAGGAGCTTCTTGATTGGGGTGTCATCTTGATTGGGGTGGATTCTAACACTGCTCCTCATTTGATAGTTTCTTCCGGCAGACACAGCCTAATGAATGAGCTTGGTGATACTCAGGAGTTTAACAGTTATTTCACAAGTTTTGTCTGCTTGTATAGCCCATCTGCTCTCCCATGTAGTCATAAAGCTGTAGGGCTAGACTCCACTGCAGTAGCCGAACATTGTTCCCCACTACCCGGTTCAGCCATCTCAATGGTTTATGCTCCGTTATGTCACAGACCTGCACTACCACCTTGTACAGACCTCGCCAACTGGTCTGCAGCTTATCGTGGTGCACTGGTTTTAGTTCCAGGACTTTCTGACCAATTTGGAAGCTGCAGTCCCTAGTGTCCCTATCATTAGAGACATGCTGGAGATTTTATTATACGGTCCTTGTCAACTGCTCCAGACGTTCCCTTAGTTCCAGCACATAAGGTTTCATGGGGGTCCCCCTTCAATCTCAGGTTCTCCCACCCAATGCTCTCTAATAAGATCTAGGGGACCCATATCCCTTACAACAGTTTGAACGGGGAGATCCTTGTATATTCTTGTGGCAGGTCCAAGTATGCGAACAGGAGGTGCAGCAAGAATCTTCCCAAGTCTTTGCAAGTGGTAGCAAAGGACAGAAGCATTTGCTTTAGGGTCCAGTCAAACACAGGCCATTAGTCTAAAGATGATAGGGCGAGTCCTGGATGGTTTTTACCCCACATATCCTCCAGAGTTTGTGTGTGACCTCTACGGTAAGCTGGGTACCCTGATTCGATAGGATCTCTCTTGGGAATCCCACTCCCGTCTTGGGTTGGATGTTGGTCACTGAGACCCCCTTTATGTACCTGGTAGCATAGTGCACCCTAGTCCAGATGTACCCGGGCAGTGGGTAGCCAGTACATTGCCCCTCTTGCCACCCTCATCACTACTGATTGCCTGGTCTTTTTTTTTCTCCCTGACTAGGTATCTGTAAGAGTGTCCACAGTCCTTGCGCTGCTTTGCAATTCACTAGTATAGGTTGCTGGTGGTGTTGCTGATTATCTGCAGCCACAGTGTGTATTGGGTCAGCTTCATGTAGCCTTCTCAGAATTCCTCCAGGCTGAACAGGTCTGGTCTTCCACAGGTTGGTGAGGCAACTGGTACTATTTCAGCGTCCACACATTGAGTGACTTTTTAAGATATAGTAGTACTGGGAGGGGTCCATGTGTTGCGAGGTGGCTCCATCGGCTCCAATTGCTTTTAATGTGTCTGATTGGTATCGGATCTGCTTCTGGCCTCTGCTCCTGTAGTCTTCTGCACTGGATGAGGAGCCACGCATGTGGTCAGAATAGGCCCAGTGTTGAAGCCCAGGGCTGGATCTGAGAGGTTTGGCTGTCTGCCCCTCATGCGTCGTAGTACTTCTCCATCAAACAAGCTGCCTCTAGGAGAGTGAGGGGTCAACAATCCCGAACCCATTCTCAAATCATAGGGAACACCAGGTTGTAGTATTGCTCAAGGAGATGAAGTTGCACCACCTCCTCCTGTGTAGCAGTCTGACACCCATTCAGTAAAAATATCTACAAAGGATCAGCGCTAATATACTAGACCTTACAGAGATAAATATAAGGCAGCACACCTGAAAAATAGGGCTCCCTCACAGGCCCTATAGAGTAGACAAAGCAAAAAAAGGTGGGGGGGAGGCGGCGCCACAGGTTAAAAAAAAAGGTTATAAACTATTCAAGCATATATACACTACACTACATAAGAGAGAATAACTCACATGTACCGGAGACTAACTATCTTGGCTCTGTAAGTAACACCTTTGTGTTCTTTGGGCAGCACCACACCTCTGCTTCAGTCTGTGGTAACACTCAAAGGTGTAAAGAGACACAGACAAAAGATCAATGTGCAGTATGTAAAGCAACCTTCTATGGAAGATAACTGGTATTAAGCTCACCTTTAACAGAGCATTAGGAACTTGACTCTGAGGATTAAAGGTGAAGTGCCAATTTAGAGGGGCTGGCCCCATTGAAGATTCCTTGAATTAGAGAGGACCTTTAATGGTATTTAGTGCAATGTATTAACTTTAAAAAAACTACTAGATATCAAAGTAATAGTAAATGGATGAGACAGCGCTGGTCAACTGATAGGCAGCAACCCTAAAAGGGGAATCCCTCAAAACCCTTTAAAACAAGACAAATAAAAGCAACAAATAGAAAAGGCTGCGCCACATAAAATATTAAAACCAGAATAAAAGAAAACAAAGTCCAGATAAAAAGAAGTCCAACTTGTATGTCCTTACGAATAGTCTTTTAAGGAGGCTGGTACAATGGTAGGGTCTTCAGATATAGTAATGGTTCCACTTATATAGAAGATAAAAGAGAGGGACAACCAATAGTGCAATATGTATAGCTCAAATATGGACGTGATAGAAAATAATGGTAGAGAATTCACATTTACAAGAGCTTATATCCAGCTCTAGGGTAAGGCGCGTACAGCGGTATAATCCCCGCTTATGAGATATGTAGTGGGTACCTCTCCGTCAATGGTGTCCAATTCTCAAGAAAGAAGAAACAGCCAATAGTGCTCACTGTATAACAGTGTCAGTATAAATTAAATAAAAACATACTTACAAATAGAGAGCAGACGGACTGCTCTGTGATATCAGCATAAGTGGATTTATCCCCACCTAGGATTTCTTGGGGTGCCGGAAGCTTCCAAACAGTTTTAACACCAAAAGGATAAAAAATTAAATAAAATGATAAAAAGCCAGGGTCAAAAATAAATAAAAAGTTGTGTGTAAAAAAGATAATTGGCACAAACAAATGACCAAATATACTTTTAATACAAAAATACACAATATAAAATTTCCATAATGCGTTTCGTCAAAAGTCTTTTTCAAATGGAATAACATACAATACCTGGCATATTATTGTTATATAAGAACACAAGTAATTAGAATATTGGCGCCAAAAATGGTCCAGCCAATCAGAATTAAAATTAAATAAGCGAATTTAAAACTCATAAATAGCTATATGGGGGGATACTTTGTAGTAACCTAACATATATAGAATATGTTAATAACTAAAACGAGGGTGGGAAGATATAGAATTTAACGCTAGAAATCTCCCACGTGATTTTCGGCACTTCCGCATACCGGAAGTAAACCGCACAGCCGCATGGGAGATGTAGTTTAAAATGGCGGCCGGGAAACCAGAAGACCATGGGGTATAAGGGTAAAATGTTTGGATACTGTATGATTTAAGTATCCATTTTTGATATTTCTGCAATGTTCACTCAGTCTTATCTTTAAGCACCTTGTGGTCATCCCCACATATTGGAGGCCACATGGGCACTCACGCAGATAAATAACATTCTTCGTATTGCAACAGATAATGTCAGGGTATTTATATCGGCAGACATTTTGTGCTATGATAGAAATTAAAAGTGTATAAGATTTCTTTCTGTAAAACTAACCACTTTGCCAGAGCTAAAGGAATGCATAGTATATACAAACCAAGTGATAAGAAGAACGGGGGTTGGATAGACTGTCTAAAATGCTAATGGAATATAATCAATTCTAAACCCAGACATTTGTGACAGAGAAGATTAAATAATTAAATTTTACCGTCTATATATGTAAGGTACCATTGTACGGAAAAGGTTAAACTTAGTTCATGATCTGCCATATCAGAAATTATAGCAGGAATTGCGGACACGAAGTCTGGACAAAACTGTTTGATCTGACAGCAAAAATGTAAATTATGGCACTATAAAGACAACACAAAATGACGTCAAAATAGCCACCAGGAAAAGTTAACTCTTTCC